AAATAATATGTTTGTGTCCAAAAAACTCAAAAATTAGCCGATGTATTTATTAACTTGATATTTGTTCACAGCATATCTTTTAAAAGGAAAGTGTTTTAATGTACAATTTTTATTCTGAAATTCCAATAGAAACAAAAAAGGCACCACGAAGCGTGGCCAACTTCAGCTAGTACGTAAAATATAATGTGTGTGACGTATGTACACTAATGTACGCACGTAAGAAGTTTTAAATACGTCTTTAGTGCAACAAAAGAAAAATAACTAAAAAATTTATTCCCTGTGCCAGTACCTACTCTTTGTTTGTAAAAAAAACAATAAGTGCAATGAAATTGACAACGGTTAAATTAAATAAGTAAATGTCAAAAAGTTGTTATTGGTTTCCATGGCAATACCGTGAAATTGGTCGCTTTGCAATTTTCAACCAACTTCATCAGCCGCTTTTAAACTGTCGGTGCGTGCGCATCGCAAAAAATTTTCTTTTATAATTTTTTCCAAACGCGGAAAAACTATTAAAGATCGGAAAAACTACTCTAAGCTGTCTCCTATTCTTGCTTTTAGTTCTTTAGTTCTTTATAGATGTTACTTTTTCTTACAGTAAATATAAAATTAAAACATTACTTTTTTATTTAAAATTCGTTAAAAATCCATCATACGAATAGAGTTCTTTTGTCTTTTAATGTTCTTAAGTAAATGTTATATTTTTTCAAGTCATTCGTTATTCATGTATTATTTTCCTTTCCAATGCATTTGAGATTATCGATGACGTCTTTAGAAATGAAAGCGATAATACATGCGAAGCGCGTATATGACGTAGTTGATTCTTAAAGAATGTCTTGAACGGTGTTATACATTGTACAAGTCTATAGCTTATTCAGTCCTCATTTCTTACGATGCTTTCACTTTATACCTAAGAGCCGCAGTAGCGAGCGCTAATCATCCTCGTGATTTCGCCCTGTTCAGCGTTCAGAATGACGGTCGATATCAAAACTAGCGGTGAACACTTGCGTGGTTTCCTTTCCGTTTCCAAAGAGTCCGTACAAATGCCCGTATTTACTAATTATGGTTCAACAGCTCGCCGATAGGTCAGTAGACATGAATACGCACGGCCCTCTTTAAGTTTTCGGGCTTAATACACTCTCACGGATTTGGGGTTGCCTAAAGAGTATCAACACTAAACTCGTTCGAGGTCGAATAAAAAGCGAATCCAATTATAATATTCATGTAGGTAAACCACTGTTGATAGATGCTATATTGCATAGATATAACTGATCCCAACTTTTGAGTTTATTCTCTAGATTAATCTAGTGATTTCTTGACTGATTATCATAAAAGATTAATCTTTTCTTCCCGATATAAATAAGTATATGTGGATTAAGAATGGGTGTATCCTGTTACGAAAGAATGATGATTCTCGGGTAATTCACGTTCGAAATTCTATGGACTTAGACAAAACATGACTATTTCCTGATTGTCATTGTAATTTCTTAACAGTTACCATATTACACATATTTTTATTTACTAGGAACATAATTTTCACGCAGGTTAGTCAATGTGGAGAGCATTTATCTTTGTCACTGTGGAGCAGGAGCAACATTAAAATTTTAGAAATATTTAAACTAGGATACATAAAAACATTAATAATTATTTCAATCTTACTGTACAATATATTCCGGTAATTTATTAATTTATTATCAAAATTGTGGAGGTTTAAAAACGAAAATTACAGACTTAAAATTGAACTTGCTTACTTGTAATTACGATATTATAGTCTTGGTTGAAACTTGGTTGTCAGATACAATTTTGGATTCTGAAATTCAAACAAATGGATATAATATTTTTCGACGTGACCGTAACTTAATTTTGTCAAATAAGAAGAGTGGCGGTGGTGTGTTAGTTTTGGTAAAAAAATCGATTGTTGCTGTCAGAAAACTTGATTTGGAAGCTGTTGACTTGGAACAAATATATATTTTTTTCCCATTTCATTCTGGGTTGTTACTCTGCGCGTGTTATATACCACCAGTGTCTATAACTGCTATATATGAAAAATTATTTTATAAGCTTTACGAAGTTCATTCTAAATCCTTATTTTCAAATTATTTAGTTATCGGAGATTTCAATCTACCGTCCCTAGAATGGTATTCGGACGACACGTCTGAGGGCACAGGGCCAATTAACGCAGTAACTGATACGGCTAAACTATTGTCGCACGTCATGTCTTTCATAAATTTCAAACAAATAAACAAAATTAGAAATGAAAATAGTAGAATACTCGATCTTGTCTTATGTACTGCATCAAATTGTACTGTTGATGTTTCCTGCGACCCACTTCTGACTGCTGTTCCGCATCATCCACCATTAGATATTTTGTACGCAATATCTTCCACTTCTATAACTATACCTATCAAAATAAAATCAAAAAGAAAATTTTTCAAAGCTAATTACGATGTAATAAATAAGGAGATCGTGGAAATTGACTGGCATTCAGACTTGAGTTCTTCCTGTATAGAAACTGTGGTTGACATATTTTACAAACGGATAAATCATATTATTGAATCACACATACCTCATGTCCCACAGAGATCGTAGAAATACCCTGTATGGTTTTCTAAAAGCTTAATTTATACACTCAGACGTAAATACAAAATATGGATGAGATGGAAAACATACAAGTCATTACGTGACTACCAAGAATTTTCTTTACTGCGGAAACGGGTAAAGCTTCTCATATCCAAATCCTTTACTACTTACATAGAAAACGTTGAATCCTCAATAAAAAAATAACATAAAATCATTTTGGAAATATACATCGAACCTAAAAGAAAGTAATCCCGGATATCCTCGTGAAATGAAACTAGGTACTGAAACTTCTGATGACCCTAACACCATATCAGAATTGTTTTCACGGTACTTTAAATCTGTATTTGAACCAGCATCTAACGGTGCTTACACTGTTTCGGAAGATGTGGACGAAAATACCAATCAAACCAATCTGAATGATATATTTATCGCTCAAATTGAAGTTTGTAAAGCCTTAAAAAATTTAGATCCGAATAAGGGTGCTGGACCAGACAATATTAGCCCAGTTTTTCTAAACCGAACCCATAAAACAATCTGTATTCCTCTTAGTATAATTTTTAATAAGAGTTTAACATCCGGGAAATTTCCAAGCGTGTGGAAGTTAGCATATATAACACCCATTCATAAAACAGGATCCAAGAAAGATGTTGAAAACTACCGTCCAATATCTATTCTCTCGTCAATTCCCAAAATATTTGAGAAATTAATTCACCACCATGTGTACATGGCCTGTAAGAACTAATATTATAAACGCGAAAGCTTGTATGTATGGATTGATGTTTGTTACTGTAAGAATAATATTTTAGAGGAGCAACATGGATTTGTGCATGGCAAATCCACTCTTACAAATCTACTCGTATTTTCAAACTTTCTTTTTGATAGTTTAGACAAAAAAACACAGGTAGAAGCTATTTATACTGATTTTAAAAAGGCATTCGATAAAGTTGACCACATGCTTCTCTTAAAAAAATTGTCGTTTAACGGTATCAAAGGTAATTTGCTGCGTTGGTTTGCCTCCTACTTACAAAATCGCAATCTATCAGTAGTTGTTAATGGCTTCACTTCATCTAACGTAGTAGTTACATCAGAGGATCAATTCTTGGGCCTCTGCTTTTTGTTCTTTTCATTAATGATATCTCGTCGTGTTTTAAGTATTGCAAATTTTTATTATATGCTGATGATCTAAAACTATATTCCACTGTTTCGAAAAGAAATGATATACATTTTATACAAAAGGACTTGGATAGTTTAGATAGTTACTGTAAAACTAATAAATTATTTTTGGCTTATAATAAATGCAAACATATTACATTTACTAGAAACAAAAATGTTCTTGATAATAACTTGCATATTGGATTCTATAAGCTGAACTCACAATCCAGTATACGGGATCTTGGAATTATATTGGATACAAAACTTACACTTGATCAACACGTTGAACATATATTACGTAAATCGTATCAAATGCTAGGTTTTATAGCTCGCGTAACTAGATCTTTTAAACGCAAAGATAGTATTATCTGCCTGTACCAGTCTTTAGTCAGATCTCATTTAGAATATGTGTCTCCTATTTGGAACCCTTGTTATGCAGTATGAAGCTAAAGTCGAAATTATACAAAATAAGTTCCTACGTATGCTTAAATATCGTATGCATTGTCCCAGCACGTTCAGCAAAACAACACGTTCGAAAAATTTATTCCATGTATCTGCAACCAGAACCAACATTGGCAAACGCGCGCCACTGAACCGTATGTGCGCCCTCCACAATAAAACGTTAAATAATTTAGATATGTACTCTTGCTCTCGCTTAACCTACAAGAACTCTATTAAAATGCTTCTCTATAATAAATAGTTTACCCTCAATTGTAATACTCACGTACTTGTGTTTCAATATATTTTATTATTTTATACCTCCAATTACGCATGATTGTGCTTTCTTCTTTCTCTTTCTTGCATTGTTTAAATTTTATTGTGTCCTTTGTAATTGCAATAGTTCTGCCGTAAGTGTGCTACCGATAAATAACAAATTTGTTCTCAGTGAGACATTAGTTAAGGGAGCAGCTGTAAATATCCGCATGCTGTATGTTCATTTTTATTTTTTATTTTGTCTTCTGTTCCTGTTTGTCTCCGATACAGTAAATAAATAAAATATACATTAAGTTTTTACTGTATAGTTTTTGTATCATAATGTTTAATTTAATTAATATGAACGACTTTTTGTTTAATTTTTTTAGTATGAAACGTATAGCATGCTAGAAACCAGTTCTAGTATAAGATAATTAAAATTATATGATATTAGAGACATTTTTTTAAATATTTTGTTTTTTTATTGTTTCTTACGGTTTGTTTATAATATATAATATAATCTTTAGAAAAAAATCGTTATACATCCTTTAATAAATTTACCTACCCAGACGACGTATATGTACTTAGGTACAAACTTCGTCGCAGTCGAATTTAAGTCATATGAATTGTAATTTGTAAATTGTTTAAAACATTGTTGATAAATACAACACGACCTATACTTATGAGATAGTAGGGTAAGTATGATATTTAAATCACTTAAGAGCATATGATATATTCTTAACAAATAATTCTGAATTGTTATGGCAGAATATTTTTATTCTTTAAAACTGTACAACACGTAATCAAAAGCAAAAATCAAAACCATTAAACGCTATCCTCAAATGAATGGTACACAAAACTAATGTTGCTACCTCCTGGTCGTCATTGAAAAGAGAGATTGTACAATTAAGTTGATACATATTTAAATTTCAAAATGTCGTACATATTCTTCTTGTCTTTATTTTAGGACATAAAAATTTATATTTTAAATAAAAATATTATAATAATTAAATGTAACCAAAACAATAAAATATTTGTTTTGGTTACATTTAATTATGGAACTTATATTTATTACTTTAAATATTAAGACAAAGACGTTTTTCATTGGTTTTTAGGTGAAATAAACTGAAAAAGGGTATCTAGAAAGTATAAAAGTGATATACTTAAGCCTAATTTTCCATTTTGGTAATATTAACTCACTACTTAAGATCAAACTACTACTACTACTAAGAACCAATGGGACACCAAATGAAGAGGCGCCGAATTCTGATTGTAATGACATTAAGGGTGTATGTTACAATTATCACGCTCTAATCCGTCACCGTTACCTTCGCGTCATCTCGTACGTTTCGTTCAGACGGAACAGCACACATGCGTGGCCACCACTAAGACTTCCAGTGGTGTTGCGTTACGATATGATCCGATTCGCGGGGGATTAAGGCGGGCTTCTCGTCTGTCGAAATTTTATCCGGGGCTCATGCACGGGCGATCAGGAGCAAGGACGGCACGTGCTGGAGCGGACGGCGCGCCGCCGCCGCGGCAGTCTGTATCGCGCTAGCCCCGCCGTCAACCCGCAGAGCCGCCCGAGCGCCATGCGGGACGCTGAGATGCCGCCCCCGCACCCGCCTCCGCCCCCGCCCCCGCCTCCGCCCGCTCCCGCGCCCGCGCCCGCGTCCTCTCCCGCTCCCTCGCCCGCGCCCTCCCGCCTCCGCCTAACGCTGCACTCGTTGCGCTCGCCGTTCCGCCACGGCTCGCCCTTCCACATCGGCTCGCTCAAACGCGTCGGCTCCGCTAAGTCCTCCGCCTCAGACGGCGATATCGCGCGCGACGAACGCACGATGCGCAAGAAAATAAAAAAGCAACGCGCTGACACGAGCGCGTCCAGCGACGCGTCCCGCAGCACCGACAGCTCGCCGGGCGTCGACAAGAGGAAGAAGGAGGGCTTCATCCGCCGCATGGGCACCATCGGCAGGAAGAGGGCGGAGGAGTACTCCCCCACGCCGCCGCAGATAGACTCCTCGCCCTCCACTTCACAAGTCGACGACACGGCGCCTCTGTCACATCAGCCGGAGGGCTACCCTCCCCTGTCGACCCAATTAGGGGTCGCCTCGCCCCCGCCGCCGCAATCGGTGGATACTTCACCCCCGCGCCAATCAGGGGATATAACGTCCGCAGCGGCGCAATCAGAGGAAACGGCGCACGCAATGCTGCAACTAGAGGAGGCGAAGCGCACGGACCCCGCGATAAACGTAAACACCCCCGAGGAGCGCAGCATTAAGACGGAGGCGCGATCGAAGCCGCTGCCGCCGTCGCCCGAGCCGCTACTGAGCCCGATCGCGGTGGAGCACGCGGTCGCGACGCGGCCCTTCACCAAGGAGGCGTGGAAGAAGAGGACCAAGCCGCCGGAGATCCAGAAGCCGGTGGAGGAGCCGAGCCCGGGGAACGCGCTGAAGCGGCGCATCGCGTTCGTGGAGCACTCTTCGGCGTGCCTCTCGGAGGACCACGACGACGACGACGACGACGACGAAGAGGAGGACGAGGGGCCGGCGGCGGGGAGCGGGGGCGAGGTGGGGTCGCTGGAGGAGGCGGTGGCGCTCGCCCGGGTGCGGCTCGCGGGCGCTCACTCGCCGACGCCGCCGCGCTCGCGCGACATCTGCGACACCGAGGAGGAGGGGTCCGCGGACACGATGCCCGCGTACGGGGACCTGATCGAGCCGGACGCCGGAGCGGTGAGTGGAGTGGAGTGGCCAGTGGGCCCAGTCAGTGGCCGCGCGGTGGCCGTGCGACGCGCGCGCCATGAGCTACGAGCGGACCGCCGACGCGGACGAGTGCTACTTGACCGTGTGCGAGTGCTGCGGCTTTAGCGCCGAGACGTCGCTCCTGTTCCCCGTACGTTACGTTTCACGTGTTGTTTGAGGACGCCGCGCGACGATGCCCCTCGTGAGTAAACACGTTCAGCTTGCCCCCGCCGCGCGAGGATCGCTTCTCGGCTAGCTTCGGGGAAGTAGACCCCTACGAACGACCCGCGCTGTCGCATGCACGTTTGCCCTTTGTTGAGGTTTTCGCGATAGTCGATATACGTAAATTCCGTATTAATACTACTCAATTAATTTACCTTTTAAAAATATTATAGCGATATATTTCTCTAATTCAATAATTTTATATAATACAACGAAACGGCGAAAAAAAATTTTGAATAGTCACCTTTCTTAAATAACTAAGATATTCCTTGTAGTTCCAATAAGTACAAAATATACTTTCTCGTGGATATTGAAGAAAATTAAGCGAAAAGTTATTAAATCTTAAAAATTTCGAAAATTTAAAAAAGCGTACATTCAATAATGCTTTGGCTTGGAGTGTAGTCTTTAATGTGCGACGCAATATATTTATGCAAATTCTAGACAACATTCTTAAAACACGTTAATAATGGCCGATGATCATTTTTTTATTTGTGTGTGAAGTTTTTTTTTACCTTTCTAATTAAGGTAGGCAAACGGTTGACTTAAAACTAGTAGGTATAAGAGATGTGTTAAGTTGCAATATTGAAAATTTCGGCCTGTAGCAATAACATGATAATTTAAATAATAAAAGTATTTAGAAATCTTTTTGTGGCAAATAAAATAAACAACGAGTTTTGTACATTACACATAGAGAATGTAGTGTAGTATAGAAAACTTGTCACGTCTGCTCATTGTATGAATGAAAGTTAATATGAGTCTCTTTCTTCATAATTATGGTCGTCAAAATATTACCGTTTTACGCGTATAAAAATTGTATTAGAACATCCGATGATTGAATTCCTTGAATTCATTAAATTCCTTAAAGGTATGATTTTTACTCATTTACTACACAAATATTCATATATTGCTTATATTGCACGAAAAAACTAACTTTAATGTTAACTACAAATTACAAAGAGGCTTTAATCGGGCTATGAAATATTATTGCGTAAAATAACTTACAGGTAACTCCTTAAGTCCTTCACAACAAGACTCCGTTACAAAGAATACCGTTCACTCCAACATACTGTATTGTCCATACTGGAGTGTTTTTTGTTTGACTTAATCCAGCCAAGCAAGCAAACTTTTGTATTACTAAAGTCAATAGTCATAAATAGCCCAAAGGTGATAAGAAAGGTAATAAGAACTTCTCTGCGTATAAACAAAGACAAAGACGTTCAAGGACGTACAAGTTGGAATGTTCCTGTCCTTTTAAAATTTGATAATTTTTCACCAATAGTTCGCATACGTGTCAATTTAAAATAAATATGCTGATGAAGTTACTTTGTTAAAAATGTTATTATTGTTATAAAATGTAAGTATGTTCAAAGTTATTTGATTGTTTACAGCTTGTGATTAGCTATGACAATGAAAAAACGATTTCAAATCAATCGCAGTACTATTAATAGTGTGTAATTTTTGTGGATATGACAATTAGTTAATGTACCGATTTAAATTTAAAATAGTATGCGCTACACTCAAATGTGAACAAAGCTTAATACGAGAGCCAAAAATATTACACATTCAAAAGGTCATACCGGTTACCGCTTACATAACCGAAAACAGTCAACATCTCAAACTTTTCCGCAGCTTAATCTCTGATATGTTATCTTTTTTTTAAAGTTCTCATAAAGCGCACCATTCATTCTCCATCTCTGTATCTCATTATACTTACTAACAGAGAGTATTTCAATCAAAAGAATCTTTTATTCTTAAAGGCATATTGTTCTTAGTCTGCAATCTTGACTGATACAATATTTCTTTGTAACTAAGGTAACATTGGTTTCTATTACTTATTTGTCATTAAATGCAATTTTTACGGTTTCTCTGCTTTTTAATGACACTTAACTCAGTTATATAGAATGAGCTGTCGCATACGTGGAATTGTTAACGATAAACAATTAACGGAATGATTGCTTTTTAATAAAAGAGAACGATTTGCGTCACAGTTAAGGCCCATTTACACGGTGCCAGTTTCTTGCCTGTTGTATACAATTAAATTGAAGCAATAAATGAGTTGCATGGTCTAAACAACAAATGGTCTTAACAATTATTGCGCGCAATTTATTGCATTCAATTATTGCTCTTGTATGTACAAGAAAATGGCATCGTGTAAATGGGCCTTTAGTTTTAAGGTCACCTACAATGAATCCAGTTTTTACTAACTTAAAGAATGCGACTGTAGTCCCATTGATTTTATGTGCAATATAACCTTTATTACTAAACATTTTTGAATATTTCGCAAGTATAAATAATGGCAGCTTTTCTGTTATTTTAAATTTACTAAATACTATTTAAAAGTAACAGCTTTTTAAATAGTACCTGTGGTGGAGCGACATGGCAAAGAATATTTATAATCATTACCATTTAATATTTACATCATGATTATATTTATTAATCCTAGTTATAGGCAAATGACGCATGCCTTTAAAATATTAGAGAAATCGGTTGAAAGAATTGACTGATTTTTAAAACTTGTTAAATTTTGCTTATTGTTTTTACGACGCTATAAACATGTGATATCAGATATAGTCCGAAAATTGTAAAATGTCATAGGAAATTGTCATTGGAATGTTAATTTTCCTCGGCATTATAAATGTATTTTCGGTAACGATTCGGAGCGTCGTTAAAATATCGTAAAAAAGCTTGAATTCGATTAGCAAATCTTTTTTTCAAAACAATACTTTGTTGCGTGTACATTACGCAATTGCTAACGCTTAGGCGATTAAAGTGTTGTACGGTATAAGTTGTTAACTTTAAATGACAATTTTTTAAACACATTGTATGTGCCTGATTCATATTTCGGCATTTGGTTATCTAACTTTTGGTTATAACGTGATATAGTTTAGTGCACGTCAAATACCGGGTATTTAAGGTAGTACAATAGCCAATTCACAAGACCAACACGTTTTGAAAAAAATCTACCTGAGACTGAGTAGGCGTGTTCGATCATTAGCCGTGAATTAGATGTTGACGGTTTCGAACGAGATATTTTGTTGGAATTTATATTCGTTGTGCCTTCATTTAAAAGTCCATGATTTTTCAAGGCGTAAGCTATTTAAAGATATTTTTTTAACAATGATTCAAAACCTGTTTCATTAAATAACCCGTGGTCTCTATTAATGACAATCGCTTTAAATAAATCTGTCACAAAAAAAAACGAGCTGACAAACGCTTGTATCAAGTGTATTATTGTTTGAAAGATTTAGAGAGATTTAGATAAAAAAAAAGTATGTGTGTTATATTTATACTCACGCACGTAAGAAGTTACACTTCTTCTTAATATTTTTTTCCAAAAGAAGTAGAACTTCTAAACTACAATTACTTCTTCTTCTAACTTATCGTTTAATTAACATTGGAGATTCGGAAACCGAAAAATTATAATGCTAAAGATTGTGGATGGTTAAAGGGATTTTAGGAATGTCTCTAGTAACAACTAGTACATTAGACGTACGTATACTAGTAATATTACTGTTGCTACTTTTCTTAGGCCTTTCTGGCCAATTTCAAAAATGGTTTAGGTACTGTATTTATTTTATTTGTGGTGTTTCTAAAGTTCGACGAAAATTTACTACCACGCTGTCCGATTTCGATGATACCTTTTGTCAGAATGTTGGGTACCTCAGGGATAGTCTCATACAAGTTTACCTTCTTGTATTAACTGATGTTTTTGCTTTCAGTCCCGAGACTATTAAAGCTTCATCTGACGGAGAACCGGTGTGCTAGCCAGAACCCACGGGTTTGGTACAAGTTTACTTAACAGCTGATGTAGTATCAATGAGAAAATCATCAAATTTCTCAATTTGCAATGACAGTTAATTTATTTTCTTAGTTTTTTTTATTTTATTGTCGATCTTGATAAAAATCAAATCTCTGGTACGTGTCGCATAAGGTCGCCAGTGATCCGTGGTGGTAACCCTAACCTAGGTGTAGGGTTACCGCATGTCGACCGCTAGAAGTCCCCAAAGTATTGATGTCGGCCTCTCACTGTGACCGTTAGCTGGCTTAGACAAACCTATTATTAACGTTTGAACAAGCAATTGATTTTGTTTTAGTTTATTCTCGGCATATACGGTCGAGAAAGGAAATTGGCGGAACCTTGTATATCATCTGAATAAAAAAAATCGAAGACATGCAAAATCTATCTCGGGCCATAGGAGCCATTTACCCTGCAGTGGGTCACATAATGAGTTTTAAGAAAATAAAAATTGACGACATTTCTGAATTTGGAATAATACAACTTGTATAATACAAGAGCTAATCCTTACGCTAGGACGACAGGTTGTTTTGAATTATTTTTTATATTATGGAATTATGGATAGTCCTAGACTCTAGAACTATCCATATTTATTTTGGATGTAATTATCAATTTCATTAAATTGATTGATTAAATAATTTAATTAAATATAATTTTGTTTTCTTCAATTAACTTATAAAATAATCAACGCTGTCCCTAATAGTTTCTTGACGAACTTTTTCAATGAGTGGCTACGGCTCAGCTACCCGATATGTGTTATAGATACCACGTGCTACGGTAATCACTTAAAATTGAACCGCCTGCTCGCTTGCCAACTATACACAAAAAAATCAAGGTGAAGTAATTGTTCGTAATCTTTGACTTATAATGGCAACAGGGTGGACTGTATATGCCAATCCTATTTCCTTAGAACAGGTTTATGTGGGGTACGGATTATTTTAAAAATCACCGATCGTCATTTGTCTCTATGGACTTATTGAAATACGGCTTGCGACAACCGCTCTATTTCGAAATGATTCTCGTTTACTATTTCGTAACTACACATAAATACCAGAAAGCAATGTTATATAAATTATAAACGCAATAGATCGTAAATAAATTAAGGATCGTAATGCGAAATCCGCGCCACGGTAATTATGCATTACATTCAGTTTTACTCGCATTCTTTGCCCGTTAATCATTTCGTTGATGCGAAGAAATCGGCCTGTCTTGGACCGTGAAAGAAACCTTACGGAATAAAGATAAACATAACGAGAAATGCATTCTGCTGGCATCCAATTACTTAGCAATGTTCTAACTCGACACGCTGCTAAAAACGTGCACTCGTTGACACGAAACCTAATATAAAGATATTGAAACAAGTTCAAACAACAACGTTTGAGTGGGAAGCAAAAGTTCTAATAAATACTCGTCCGTTATCAAATGGCCGATAAGACGCCCGTGCCCCCACTTATTGTGGTAATAAATAGACAAGTCTTCGGCACAATTCTATAGACCGACCCGCGTGAGCCTAGCGAATTGTATCACTGGTGAAATTAAAATAATTCGGGACTTTACATTTTTCCATTAAACAAAAACGTGTAAAATTATTCTACGCTACTAATTTCTAAGCGAAGATGTGTTTTGATCATTAAAAAGTGATTAAAAGGTGCCAAAACTTGTTCCAATAACAAGTCATTCCTTTGATTGCAAATAAAATGTTCGTTAGGCCCTGAGGGGTCGTAGCGATGTGCGAGGTTATAATCGAGAACATTCTATATCATTCACACGTTTTACTTCTTTGGAATTATATAAGAGTTTCTTGACGAACCGATATCTCGATCTTGCGATCGTGACTGAAGATGTCTCCGAAACCGAAGCCGAATAAAGTAAGTCCCTTTTAGACTTAAATATATCTAAGCCGGGCACAATATTTAGTTTCTTAACTTAAAAAAAGAACTTTAGCCATCAGAAACGATAAAAATAACATGATTCCTTTCTTATTTATTGTTTAAATACTATGGAAAAACCATGAGAATTTTACTTGTACCTATTTGTTTAAAAAATATTTTAAAGAAATTAAAAAGAAGTCTTACACAACGCACATTTTGCTGTATATAAACAGCAGAATACGTGTATATCGTGTTTTTCTATGGGTATCATATTTTATTCAGTTCAATAGTAAAAACTAATATACTATAATAAGTAGGTCTTAGGGAATATTCATTAGAACATCACTATATCTGTTCGCAGATTACAATGTTTTGTATCACTGTTATAGAATTCTTAATTATTAAAACTAACACAAAGATGTAACTTAGTAACCAAACTGATTACCTACTTGTTATTAATTCCTTAAGTGGTGTACATCGTGTTACACTATCTTAACATTAAAATTTATCTTTGTTATGATAGCAGAAAAGTGTGAAGCACCGCAATAAAGTAAAGTAAACAAATTAAACACCAATCAAAGTGTCCAGGCGCTCTACTTTTATTTTTATGCAACCTTATGGGTTGCGACACTAAACTATGTCTATGATTGAATAAATATTTCGGAATTCCATTATTATCTATGCAGATTTTTTTGGCCTTGCATTGTATTCGAAACGCTCGAAATCGTAATGTGCAAAAAGTCGTTTCCGTTAACTTATATACCTAATATGAAATATAACGCGGCTGACATTAAAATGTAAAATATTTCACATATTTGTAATACTTCATTATATCTTTTAAATTAATTCTTCTGTTCATTTTATTCTCATTCAAAAGAAAAAAATTAACAAATTAATCTTATACAAACTGTATGCCAGTTTTTCTTTCCTGTAGTCAATATACGGTCAGACAACACGACCAATATAAAATGAAAATAGTAATTTACTATGTTGGAAAAAACTATTCTAACACACATTTATTAAAAATAAAATAACAAAATAAAATAATAATATTTAAAAAATCAAGTCAATCAAAAATGGAGTCGTTTTAATATAAATTCAGTGACAAAGGTCGCTTTGTGAGTATCTTTTTACTAGTTGTGCTAAAATGTCAACATATTTATTCGAAATTGAGAATTTATCCAAAGCCAAACTGGTGACTTCTATTTGACGACAAATTTCTATTGCTAATTTCTGCTAGCATTGTTAAATGTCAACAATTTTATTCGAAATTCGGTAAATTATAGTATATATCGGTATGTTGATTTTTATTTAACATAAATTAGTTCAATTTCTTTTTCTATTCAAGGTCATTTTGTTATTACTTTCATGTTGTATGATTTCTAAAGAAAATTTAAATTCCAATTCGTATGAATACCATATTATCAGCGTTGTGTATGACTGTAAGCATAAAAGTCTAATCGGTATATCGAGTTCGTTGATTGACACTAATTAAAAGATAGCCAATTATCCGAGAGCTGCCCTCCTAAACAAACGAACTGTTGTCTCCTTTGTTTCTTCATGTATAAGAGACACCGGCGGTAGCGAAGTGTTATTAAAGGATTATGTATTTACTGTCGAGTACTTTGACCGTCTAGCTCGCGGCTTTGTTCTAGAATGCGGTATTCCAGTATTGTGGTGACGACTTAAGGAGAATGCGCTAGCTTTTAAATGTCATGCCTTTTAATTTTCAGCCGCATACGTTATCTGTCGTTAGATTTCCAACTTTCTCCAAAGCGATCGGATGCCGCAGACTGTTAAACAATTAAATTTTTTTATGATGGAACCGATGTTATCAAAATCATCGTAATTTGATCCAAATTCCAAAAATTGTTCACGATGTTTCCAAGTATTATTTAACCCAAATGGTTACCGTTTAAATTCAAATTCTTCTTTTTTCCATTAAAATACGTTTTACTCACTTTTATAAGAGTACAGATTTTGATCAAACCCTGTACTCTTATTGCATTTCGTCTGGTTAATAAGGTAACCTCGGCCCACCGTCGAATAGATAAGTGAATCAACTGCAGCTTGCAGATGTCCACGGTGATAACTTACATCTGATGAATCGTCTGTTTTTCCCACTAATATCATAAAAATCCCACTGCAAGTTAAATGGGCTCTGATGTTTGATTTCTTTCGCAGTCACACGTGACACCCAGCGCTGAGCGACGGGAACACCTCTATAAGATCCTGGTCATAGGCGAGCTGGGTACCGGGAAGACGTCGATCATCAAGCGATATGTGCATCAGTTCTTCAGCCAGCACTACCGCGCCACCATAGGCGTCGACTTCGCTCTGAAAGTCCTCAATTGGGACTCGAATACGATAATACGCTTGCAACTATGGGACATCGCAGGCAAGTGAATTAATTTTTACGCGTAATTTAAAAATTAAATGTAAATATGATTGCTTTAGTTGTTTTATAGTTTCTAATTGTTTCTAAAGAGTCATTGCAACTGCTTCGCAAGTCTCGTCTGATCCTCCAAAAGGTTAGACGTAGGTAACGGATTTCCAATTTTCACAAACACACACGTTTACCTCTTTAGCCTCTTCCATATGCATCTACATATTCATTAGCATGGGTATTTTATACTCCGTTCTCCACTGTATACTGCAAATCTGTTTTATATACTTTCTCATCGCTTTACTATCACTTTACTATTCGCTTTGTCACCATAAACCTATTTAATCATTCTTACAACTTGATAATAAGCGCAGTAGAAAACGATCTTTGGAAAGACCTACCTAACCTAACCTAAAAGATGCCAACTAAGCAAATGCGTTTTTCTAAGTCTATACCATAATTGGAAACATTCAATACTTTAAAATATAATTGAAAAATTACGCTTAATGCATAAAAAGTTTGTTATTAAATAAAATGTTTAACTTATAATGAAAGTCATAAATGTAATTGTCATGGCCAATTGTCAATTAGTTCTCAATTATCTATCAGACGTCAATATCTCTGCGAAATGGACGATCTCGGCTTATTCTTTTCGTGGGTGTTCCTTGGTTTAATGCTGATATATGGTCTTTTGTTTCTTTCATTGTTAATCATGGTACCTTATTGACTTCAGTTTAATTCAGTATCATATTCGGTATCGCGTCTTTTTGTATCGATGATATTTATTCTTTTGAAACATGGGACACTCCATTAAATTGCATCTGTACGGCTTTTTTTAAATAAAAATAATTCAATAATTTATTAATTTGCTGAAATGTAAATGGTGAGTTGTGTTTTCCTGTTAATATGTGTGACTGTTATCAAATAATTGTTTTCAAGTAATTGTGTGATGTTACATACCAATAATGCACATATGTTACATACAAATAATTTCGTTTTATCTAGATTCTCGAATTATCTTTTCTCTCGAGCGCATATAATCCTCCCAGCAGCTAAAAACTTTTGATCTATTTTTCTTCAAATTTTAAATTTCATTTTAAGTACGGAGAATATCAGTATAAAAATTAATATCATTGTATCTAAGTAGTTAAACTATCACTCAAATCATTACACAACATCCGTGATGACAGAGCTTAGGATGTGATCCCAATCCTTAATTACGAACCACCATACATAAAACTGCCACTGAATTGGTTAAACAATTAACTGCGACACTAGACATCAAGCGGCGTTTAATCTAAGACAAGGTTCTTGACCATTACTGGATTTTTTACATGTTACCAGAGAGCATTATTCTCTGGTTTATTCTCTTAAGGGCGATTCTTAGGGAACTACCGTCCTTCTTATTTCTAGGCCAGGAGCGTTTCGGCAACATGACCCGGGTGTATTACAAGGAGGCGGTCGGCGCGTTCATAGTGTTCGACGTGTCCAGGGTGGCGACGTTCGACGCCGTCGTCAAGTGGAAGAACGACCTGGACACCAAAGTGCAACTCCCTGACGGATCCCCGATACCGTGCATACTGTTGGCGAATAAGGTTTGTTATTATTATCTCTTTTAATTATTGCCTGACTAACTGTATGACGCTACTCGTATGCTATATTGTAATGACGTTTTACAAACATAAATTTCACATGTACAAACACCCAGATCGGACACAGTTATTTGTGGGTCACAAATAGTTGTCCCGTGTGGGAATCGAACCCAAGGCCCCGGTGCCAAAGCCAATAGCTTTGCGGCTTCGTCACTGTGTCATCAAGGATTACTCGCGTAGGTCGCATTAAGCACTAATCGCGTTTTAACTAGACTTTAGGTAGAGTTCGGCGCGTGACTGAAGACTGATGTTTCCAAATCCTTCTCATTATTATTATTTTTTCTAAATCATTTTTTTTTTATTTAATAATTTATGCACACAGTGTATATAAAAATAAATGTAATAAGATTTTTACAAAGGCCCTGTATATTTCTTAAGAAATCTCTTCCAGCAAACCTGTATCTGTATCATTCTCTAAACGTTGGTAACAATGGTGGTAAAGGCTACGTAAATTAACTTATTACAATTATACTTCTCTCTTTTTTATTCATTTTAACGAATAGAGTAAACAGTTTTTGAACATTCGCTTAAATTGTATTACTAAATTAAATATTTAAATTAATAGTTTATAGTAATAAAATGATTTATTTAATACCACTACTAAAATATTTAAAGATAACGAAATTCACCAAATAATACCTTTATATATATACTCAAGTTTATATTCGTTCCGCAGTGCGACCAGCAAAAAGAGGGCATAGTTAATTCCGCGGCGAAAATGGAGGAGTACTGCCGCGAAAAAGGATTCGCCGGTTGGTTCGAGACATCCGCCAAGGAGAATATTAACATCGAGGAGGCTGCACGGTCCCTTGTTAATAAGGTGGGAAAATTCTCGTCTTCTCACGTCTATTAAGTGATGCCACATCAGATGGCACTTAACTAGCCCAATTTCCAAAAAGGTTGTCAACGCATCTGCAAACCCTCGGGTGTAGCAGATGTCTATGGGCGGCGGTATTCACTTAACATCAGGTGAACCGTCTGCTCGTTTGGCAACTTTTCACATAAAAAAGACGGACCTGGTACCACTAATAGGTCCGTCTTTTTTTATGTGAAAAGTTGCCAAACGAGCAGACGTATAAAACAGCTTGGTACGTATAAGCTTACTTAAGATAATATAAGATTACGAAAATTTGTTTGTTCCCCAAAATTAATGAAGCTGTGGAGCTTAGGTCCGTTAAAGGTCTTCTGCTTAATATTGATTCGCATGTAGTCTTCTTTCATCGATCATAACATTTGAGCCGTGATAGCTTGTCCGGGCGCTCGCCTTTAATTCAATATACTCGAGCAACCTGAGTTCGATCCCCGGTGCCGGCACCAACGAAATTGTTAATTTTAAGCGCTGACCTATAACGTGCTCAGCGGTGTAGGAAAGTGTCGTGAGGAAACCCGCATACTTTCAAATAACAACAAAAAAAAAAGTGTTTCGAAATTATGTCAAGTCTGCCAATCCGCAGTGGGGTCGCGTGGTGGACTATGCACCGATACCTGTACAGAGGGTTCGTTTGCCTAGCTGTGGGACATATATAGGCTGTTACTTTACTTTTTTACTCTTCTTTATCCTACCCAGTTTCTTACGGTATTAGCTCAAATCTCCTTGGGAAGAACAACCCAGGACCCGAACAATGATATTTGGGCCATACAAATAGTTGTCTCGTGCGGGATTCGAACCCCGGCACTGCAACCAATGCCGCTGCGAACTGCGCACTCGAGTCACCATTTTCCCCATCAAAATTCTTATTACATTGAAGATATTTATCGTATATAATTTATTGGCAATTTATGCTAATACTGCAAATACATATGCATATTTTTCGTGAGCTCCGTAAGACATAAATGCAGTAAGGCCATTACTGTTACTACCTACTATATCTAGGTAAGATATATGTTTCAAGTTAAACGTTCTTCCAAATATATATCGATGGAATAATATAAAGAGGCCAAGACGACGTTTTAAAAAAGTTTAGTGTGATCGATCCCCTATTATTAAAATGTTCTTAATAAAGAATTGACAGAAAAATCAAAACTCAATGCCGTGAATATTCAAGATTTTGATATGAAAACCTTGAATAAATAGAAAAGGTAACGTAAAATACCATGCTGTTTTTTTTTTGACTAAGTTCAAATTATACATTTTGCAGCTTTAATATCCTTAGTGATTTTATGTGACTTATTATTAATTTAGTATGAGTTACTAAAACTGCTGCAATGAAAACAAATGCCTTGTTACGTATAAAACAGCTTGTTACATATAAGCTTACCTTAAGATAAAATAAGATTACAAAAGTAGGAGTTCCCCAAAATTAATGAACATTTAGAAATTCCAAAATCTTCACATCCAAATACGTATTTTTATCACCAAATCAACATATCAACACAATAAAAAAGCTGTTAACATTATTGACTTGCTTTGAAATTAAGCAATGATTGTTTTAAACAGCCTTGAATGGCAAATTAACGGGTTGATATTTGTTTTTTTTTTTGCATCAAAAACATTTACCTTTTGTAATTTCACATTGATGTCGCAGTAGCTTACTGTTCCCGCTTTAATTTTATTTTATCACTGTGTCAAAAGTTATTATTATGTGATTTGTATTAAAAAACCATTTTGTATTTGTTATGTGTATCACTCTTTATTGTAATTAATGTTTTAACCCTATATAACGATAGGTATCAACTATAGTTTAAAGCTAAAAAGTAAAAAAGTAACACCGAAAAAGCACAAACTGTCCAACTAGTCAATTTATCCAGTAGATTCGGACAACTTATGTGAGTAACGCATAAAATAGGAAAGGGAACCCATACCACAATCAGATAAAGCCCGTAACCTGTTTCTGGCCAAGGAAATAAGCATCTACAACTTTGTAGAATTATGTTATCGCTTTTTTTGTAAACCCCATAAAAGGAGATTACAAAGGGCCTTAATGCTAATAGGCATTCACACCACCGTCCGTTAGATAGAACCGGTTTAAATGAATTGTAACGAAGAGGCGGGCGCCTAGAGCTTTATAATAACAGCTTTACAATAGAGCTATATAATCAGATTTATGTTTATTCAGTTATTAATAAAATATATTAGCTTATTTTAATTTTTCTTTATCATTATCTAGCGAAATTAAAAAAAACTTTTTATTGTAGTGTGGCCTATTTCTCTTTTCAAACTTCATACATAATTCAAGCTCGATCGATTTTTATGAAATTTTGGCAAACATTTTTTTTTATTTTTCGGAAAAATTACTGCAATGCCAAACTGAAATCTGCCGGGTCGGCCAGTATATAAATGTATATCTCTTGCTACTCTAGATACTGCTGAACGACAAGCTGTTGAACAACGGCGACAAGGACGGCGATAGGTTGACGCTCGAGCACAAGATCGCGAACGGCGAGAACGGCAGGGGCGGCGGCGGCAAGTCCTGCGCATGCTGACCTACCCCTCCCCCCCCCCCCTCCCGTCGCCCCCACACCCCCCCGCACTCGACGAGCCACACTCGGCCACGGACTCGGGAACAGTTCCGCGCAAACCCCGCGGCATTCCATTCGGCAGCTGCAACGCTACGAAAGAGACAAGGATGTACGAACGCCAACGAAAGAGTAAGGCATACATTCGTGTATCCTTGTCTCCCTCGTCTTGATAGAAATGCACTCTAGCTGACGACATCGTAAATGGGCGACGGGCGAGCTTTACAGTGTCCTTTTGGGAAAGCATGTGATTAAAATGGCGCATGTTCAAAATAAAAGACTTTTTGAAGGTTTTGTTCAGAAACCAATCCGTTTAGTCCCGCGTGAAACGTTGTCATTAGCTACAGTTGCTTACTAGCAACATTAAAACCTTTCCACATAATTTATGTTAACGTTGATATTTCTTTCATCTAACATCTTACGTAAATTCACATTAAATATTACGAATTTGATTAGACTTTATATATCTCTTGTTTCATACCGCTCGCACTCCTGTAAATTAGAATTGTTCCCGAAATGGTAGCGTGTAAGTGGCGTTCATAATTAGTGGGTTTTGTGAGTTGTTTTCGGTTTAAGCCGTTCGAATGATAAGTATATACATATAATAATGAACAAAGAAAAATTCAAGTGCCTACTCTGATCGAATTTATGACATGTTTCGATGTAACTTTGTCTCATAATTGTTCTTTTTTCTAATATATTTTTTTAATAGTTGTTAATGTTAGATACAGTTGCACAATTGATGGAATTTACGCGTTTTGGCTTTCAATATATACACGTAACTGCATCTCTTTCTACTTAACCCCCTTAGGAGATGCCATTACAAAAATAATTTCTTAATAAAACGTAGTCAAGTAGGATTGTCACGTCAGACAACCAACATTGAATTATCTGGCTTTTAGAGGTTACTGTTGATGTTTTATATTTAAATTCAATCTATCGTTATTAAAATTTGAATAATTACATTATTATTAAAACATTTATGTTGGTAATTAAGAACAACTTGACACTGGTGGAATTGTGATAACTCACAAAGCTAGCCATTAATAAAAAGAAGAAGAAGAAGGCATGATATATTACAAAAGTTGTTACAAAAAGCCCGCGAAAATTGCATCAATACGTCAACTGTCACGGCACTAGTGTGCATTTATTCGGGGAGTTGTTGAGTGCCATGTGCTGCTTAAGTCATAATTAATTGTATGATGCATTGATAATAGTGTATTATAGTACATCTGTAGTAATGTTGTGTAATGAGTATTACTTATTTTATGAGAGCGAGAGAAAACTATTGTAATATTAATAAAAGTGTTTAACAGAACCTGGGCTTGTTCATTTCGTTGAAAATATACCCAAATAAGATGATTAATTATTATTTTATAGGATCTGTTTGGGTAAGTATTACGTCGTCACAGAAAAACGGCACGGTAAAGTATAAGTTGGAACACGCCTATTAGAGCAAAGGCGTCACCTTGGGTGATTTGCCATCTTTATACGGGGTAATCATACTATAAGGCATACTAGGCAGTTTGCAGTGGTAATGCAGATCTGCATTGCCACCTCCTCGAATATAGATACAAAAACAGAAAACATAATAAATCATTAAATTGCTAAATCACATTTGCTGTCACGCACTGGATAACGTCATAGATGTATGTGGCGGGCTTCATCGCCGAAGGGTCTCGTCGTCACGGATAAATACATATATGGTACCTATAAATATAAAAAAAACATGTATAAATGGTGCTGAGCTGATTAAACATTTCATCTTGACGAATCCGCCATCCTTTATGAACCTTTTGCTTCAAATTCTAGCGAACACGGGGTACAGATGAATAACATCAATATATACAAAAGGTCCGTGACTTTAATATGTAAGAGAATCCATGTTTTTTAATAACATATTTATCTTTTTTAAATATAAATTGGAATTCAATGAATATGTAAAGGTGTTAACCATTTAACGCCAACTGGGTTAACGTTAACGGTAACATTACCGTAGGCTATCTAATTTTTTCCTTATTTATTCCGTAGACTGTTAAGCTTAATCGGAAGCAGAACTCGTGGGTTAATCACACACAATCTTGATACGGCGCTTAACGTGGTGAGCGCGTTTATGCGTGATTTATCTCACCGGGATAAATGTGACATACGGGCCGTCGCGGTTCGGTACGGACCGTCACCCAATGGCGGTTGACTGTATTAATCGGTTGCTGAGGTTGGTGAGAATCTGATACCTTGTGTACGCGCTGTTCGTTTCACCGTGCTCCTAGTCGAGGCCAAACAAATATGTATGTTAGAACTTTGATATAGTGTTGTCTAGGTGAAATCTCAGGGGCCCGACATACCTTTCCCCTTCCTCGATCGGGGCGATGACAACGTAGCGCGTGTACAGTTTTAGAAATACGAATACACGCGTACGAATACTTTTGTTTCATAATGGTAGTAGATGGTTATCTAATAACGAAATATGACTATGTATAAACGCTGTGTAATATATTCTTGCATAAATTTACATAGTAGGGTCTATATAAATTTTAAATAGAGCGTGGTTGCTAAGCTTTCAGTTACTGGAAGTAGTCAAAAGCCAGATTTGATGCGTTACCTCTGTATATGTGTATCGAACAGTAAATCTTCGGCTAATTCTTTTATTATAAACTAGCGCTGGTGTACTCATGATAGTCAAAAGCCCATGCAGTTACTATAATAGCTCAGGGAGAGTCATTGACTCTTGACTTCAGACCTCACACTGTGGATAATCCGAACTTCATAAGATAAAAATGAGAATAACTAAATAAGATAAAAAGGAAGATATATAAAAGGAGTTTTAAATGAAAAATTGCTCATGCACTATGCTATGCATACTGCCACTCCCCATTTATGATTACACAGAAGAAATGCTTGAAATAAGTTATGTTAAAATTACAATTATTGTAGAGCTATAATTTAACACTATATGAGTTATGATTTACGACTTAATTTTTACTATATACATGGATTACTTCTATGACGTTTTTATCTATACAATCATATTTCGTTAACGATTTTTATCGCTAGTGAGTAAATTACTATTTCATTATTTACACACTGAAGAGTAAGTTTCCGTGGTGTAGCGGTTATCACATCTGCCTAACACGCAGAAGGTCCCCGGTTCGATCCCGGGCGGAAACATTATTTTTTATGTAGACAAATTATTTAATATAGCATAACATGATTTAATTTTATAGACAGTATATTAATTATTATTTAAAGCAAATACTTCGCGTATTAACGACACATGTCTTTACATTTTATGATATGATTGAAGTTAGTATTCATATAAAGCATTGCAATAAAATAATTGAATTTATATCAATACTTTACAAACATAGCAAATATCACGTAGATGTTTATTCTCATTTGGAACATAGTATGAGTTTTAAATGTTTACAAACCAGAAAAAAACCACATTTGGTATAGATTTGAGGAATTCACATCGGATAAAAACTTTTTTCCTACGACGGACATATTTCCACACAATTTATTTATTTTTTTATGCTTAATTGCAAAACCTCACAAAAAGGTTTACTAAAGGCGGACTTAATACCATTTGGGCATACTCTCCTATTCAAACCGGAGCGTGGAGAGATTGTGATAGGTGCAATAAGCTAAAATATGAAAGCTATTATATTTTAATTGATATATATAGACTGATATATAAATATAGACGGATAGTGAACAAAGTTTTCTGCAATAGTAGCATTAATGGAGATGGAGGTGCTTCTCGTATAAATAAAATGAAATAGATATTGAAGTATTTCAATATCCATTTCATGTATGTATAAAGTATATAGGTACATACAATGCTATTAAATATGTTATTACATATATAGAAGATTCTATCAAGTCACTGTGACATACTTCTCAATTTCTATAAAGTAGCTGTTTCATTTCTTCTGCGGTACTGATGTAAGCGTACAGGATGCTTTTTTTATCGGCAGTCTTCGTAGGAGGCTTTATCAGGTTAATAAATTTCTTAGCGCATTAGAATTACGTCACATATCACAGATTTAGTTTTTAGGGTTCATAAACCCAAAGGGTAAAACAGAACCCTATTTCTAAGACTCCGCTGTCCGTCTGTCACCAGGCTGTATTATATTTTATATATACATGAACTGTGAAAGACACTTGAAATTTTCATAGATGATGTATTTCTGTTGCCGCTATAACAATAAATACTAAAAACAGAATAAATATATATATTTAAGTGGGGCTCCCATACAAAACACATGATTTTGTCCCGTTTTTATAGATAATGGTACAGAACCCTTCGTGGGCGAGTCCAACTCGCACTTGGCACGTTTTTTAGGTTTCATGCCATTAAAAAACGGACCTTTTATAAGATCATTCTCATGTCGGTTTGTCTGTCAGTCACAGGTAATTTTTGGGATCTGGAAGTTTTTATGTTCGTTACTTTGAAAGAAAGTATTTTAAAAGGATCTTTTTTATTTTAACTTTGTCGTCTTTAACTGTGAGAGGGCGGTAAGGTTTTTATAAAAATAAATAAATAAATAGAGATCTCGATTAAACTTAAGCCCAAAAATTTTGTTTAAACGCTATGTTAATGCATTAACAAAATTGAATTATTTAGAGACCGAATGTGTTTCCGATTGAATCAAAGTGTAGGAAAGTTATTACAATTGCGCCGCAGAATAGATAATCTCTTGTGTCCCTTTGTAATTTAATGAAAGTAAACATTTGAAGCAGAACCAAATTAAAGTTCAATCAGCTACTGATACGACTGTAATATGATGCACAACGAATGGCATTGTCCGTACAGATTTTATTACGTGCATCTGCAAAATGGTGGAGTGTTCATTTCAGTATGACAATAATGTTGGATTGTGCGCGTAAAATCTTCTAATTCATCATCTGTTGTTCCATCGTATTCGTTATCAGTAAGGAGATTAAATATTTCCATGTAAAATATTTGAAACATTCAAAGAGAAGTATAGCAGCTTCTGTTTACTCATGGAGCATACTAAATTAACACGGAGGAACATAAATACGGCACCGAGATAGCAGCGCTTATCTGTTTGAACAACAATCTCGTTACGAGATATGGCGACAATGTTTCTTTCTTTCTCAATCTCGTCAAGCTAATTGTAACGGTGGATTTTCGATTTTCCAAGTCCCCTCCGCGATCCGTGACTAGTTACCAAATGTAGTGCAGTTTTCGTGTTCTTTGTGGTCGCGGTGTTGTAATTGCTGATGGAGTTAGAGAAGGTAAGGTAATTCAAGCAATGGACGCTTATATTTACGCGATTTTAATAAAAATTCAAACTTTAAACACACTTCAAAAATATACTGGTCATAGCGTTTGTTTCAAAATCATTTTGTAAATAAAGCCCAAGTGTAATGTACTGAACTGTTGTTCTTATTAATTACTTAAAGTAATTAAAAATAAATTACCCAGTTTTATTACATTTAATATATCTTTTGATATTACAATGATAAAGTACAATTATGCTTAATGATTGTACTCTTTTCGGTAAATTTAACGCTTTTCGAAAATTTTTTATATATTTTATTCAAGTTAAATTATCAAATTTCCCTCGTTGTTTCAAAAACTTATAGAACATACATAATAATACGAAATTTTATGGACGGACGAGGGACAAATGAATTTTCTAAGGAAAAAAAAAGCATCAATAAACTTGCCAACGCTTTAGTAGGAAATTCATTCAGGTATGTCCCATCACCTTGACGTTGTCATCAATCATCAATTAATAAATCGTCCATCAAATTACACATGATTTTTTCTTAGGCTCCATTGAACCTACTCACGAGAAATGTTTGTTTTCATCATCATCATTTCAGCCTGTTTGAGTCCACTGCTGAACATAGGCCTCCCGCACAGACTGCCACGAAGCATGATCCTGAACAGCATCCATCGACTTCCCGCACACATGCACAGGTCGTCATACCATCTAGTAGGGGTTTGTCTTACACAGTGATGGCCAGTATGATGTTTGTTTTAGTAATGAAAATTACAATTTTTAATTAGAATTTGTATGGTGATGACAGCCACAGAAAAGTAAGAGACGTCCATAGTAATCCCTACTTAATACATAGGTATTTTTTTGTATGTATGGATGGATGTTTGTTATTTTTTCACCCAAATACTACTGAATGGATTTTAATGAAGCTTTGCAATATAGCTTACACATCAGAATAACACATAGGCTATATTGTATATACATATTTTATGTAATTCTGTCTATCTGTCTGAATGTTACGCCTTCAGCCTATTCTACGCAGACGTAGTCGCGGGCAGCAGCTAGTAAATATTATAGATGTGAATGTTAGTTTGTTTGTTACGCTTTCACACCAAAACTACTCAACCGATTATCATGAAACTGTACACATATCCTTAGAGGTATAAGGGCATAGGATTAATTTTATTAAATTAAAAAAATATTTATTTAAGGGCTTCAACGCGGGCGGAGCCGCGGTCGAAAAGCTAGTAAACGATCAAGTTAGAATTGCTTGCTCGTACCAATTTATAAAGACACGATTTTTAAGACTGTCAATTTAGTTTTATAAAACTGACAAGGGATATTCTGAACGTGGAGCTTAGATAACAAGAATAATGTACTCATTCATGTATTTGAATTTTGAAGTAAAATATATACTTATAAAATCGAGTTCGGTAGTAACAATGTGGTTTACTACTGTAGAAGATATTCAAAGAGAAAAAAATAGTAAGGTTATATGCTTAGAACTCTATAAATTATTTTGAAAAGCTCCTCCAGTGTATAAACCCTTTTTTTATTTTTTCCAATACCGCTTTCAATACAAAAAACTCGGATTCACCAGCGGCCTCTTGAAATGATTTTGTGAATGGTCAAAAGACTAAAAAGACGAAAAAAAAAACTAACCGTAAATCCAACATTCGTTCCAAGGCTATTTGTGTCGTGGTATCTCCTTAATTTTTTTTTGGCATAAACCTTTTAATTTTTTCATCATAAACTTTTCGTTAAACATACAATGTATCCTTGAAGCAACAAGTAGCCAAACCTCTTCCGCATCAGCTATGTACCATGCCGGGTTAAGAGTGGCAACCGCAATACATATATTCCTCTTTATCCACGCATTGACCTCGATTACATAATGTATGGAGAGTGGCATCTGCTCAACCCATTTTGCCATGCTCGCCGCATTCCCTCCGCGTATCCAAAGTTCGCGTTGACTAAGTCACGACAAGACAAGAATCCGTTCGGAGGGTTTATCCTCTTGATAGGTCTCACTTCGTTTTTCGAGTTGCTGAAAGATGGTGATGGAATCGGGGAAGGTTTACCCTTCTCTGAGGCGAGGGACACCGGTGAGTTCTGTTGGAGATCCCGGAGGGGGACTCCGGTATCTCAAATGTACAGAAGTTGGCCATCGAGGCGTGTTAGTGTTTGATTGCCTCCGATACCAAATAAAAAAAGTCTCACTTCGTTGCTAAAACTGGAAACTTAACACTTCATGCGGCACACCAACTCTCCATCTGATCGTGATATATGGTGATCAGTGTTTTGTCAGAAAAGGAACTTTAGATGGCCAAACATAACTAAATTTCATAATATTAACTACGAATAAACCAATTAGATATATGATAAATGAGAAGTAAGATAATAAGTTATATATAATTTACAATGAACAACATCTCACGATGTTCCAGAGAAACGCCTTTTCGACAAACTGGGGGGGAGAGATTGTCAAAGTAGAGGGGCTTACGGTATGGACACCTGAGGAGAGAAGCTGGTGGAGGAAGAAGCCAACTAAACCCAAAACTGTTATACTTAATAATGGTAATAATTTTTTGTTAAATAATTACCCACCAATATTGCAGTTTTTTGTATTTATACGTTGAATTTTAGATACCAACATCATGGTACGTTCAACATTCAATATTCATCGTACTCGTGATTTGACAGACTTTTTTGAACACTTAGGGGTAATTGTTGTTCAACTATAATAATTAAGACATACAAAATGCCTCGCGTTCATTTTGTAGGTAATTATGAGTATTGCAAATATGTACTACAGTATTTTATGTAGCATCACCGGTGATGTTTTAATGAAGATGACACAAGAAAATTGTAGCTTTCCAACAAGTGAAACGTTTTTATAATCCGCTATAAGTACATAATTATGTACTTTTTAGAGAAAAATATTTTCTTAAAAAGTTGATTTTGACATCGTCATTCTTTCATGTGCTGTACATTTAAGATGAACTGAAGTAATAATATTTTTTTTTTATTTCGCGTAATTTGACGAAGATCTTGGATTTTCTAACAGTTTATTCTGGCCAATTTGTGTTTGACCAGAATATTATATTGTAACAGACTTATAACATATGTTTTATTCCTATCTATTGTCTTATTTCTACCCTGTTCATTGAATGGTTGCTGTAAATTTTATATTTTCAGTCACAGACAGCATTCAAAACGGCGAATTTTTAGCGATACTAGGACCAAGGTAATAATTAAATGCTTAAATCATCACAAGTAAAGAAAAAGGAGATGACTAATAGTTTGTTAATGATCGAACCAGAATTATTCTCGAAAAAATTTTCTTGTCACTCTAAATTAATATTTATAATTATAATGTTGTAAAGAAAATTAAAACTTTTTATTTAAATTCAAAAGAAATATACTTAACTGTGGTAGGGCCACGCAATAGCTTCGGCTGTTGCATAAATGGGCAGGTCCATCCGGGCAACTCGAAGACCTGACAGAGACCACAGTGAAGTAGAAGTGTTTCAAAGTGAAAAGCTTCTGCTTTTCATCTGGTGAGTAAGGTAGCCGGGGCCCACTTTATTCTTAGGTGGCAACGCATCTGCGACTCTACGGGTGATTCAAATGTCCATGGGCGGCGGTTATCACTTAATATCTGGTGAACCGCCAGCTCGTTTGCCACATTCTCACATAAATCAAAGAAAAAAAAATCTATATAGTTTTCAAGGGTAAGAAAGAAATGAGGAACAAGTAGAAGGGTATGTATATTATGTTTGCAAGCGAATATGCGGTACCGTGTCATAAAATAATACTAATACAGAGCATTCTTTTGCATGGCAACATTGTAAAGACCCGATATAATACGTATGTAGACAGTAAAAAAAAATCAACTATATTAGATAAAGCTTGGCTTATACTCTCATATTTTTAATCCATTAAATTATTAGAATTATAGTCGTTCTAATGTAGGAAAATTTGCAGCGGTGCGGGTAAAACAACGTACCTAGTGTCATTAGCTGGCAAATGTACTTTGCCGTCGAAGGGAAATGTTACCGTCGAGGGCCGAAATGTCAGCGAGCTACCCACCGGCACGGTGGAGATACTGCCCCAATTCGACGTATTTATGGACTGCCTGAGCGTTATGGAGCATTTGGTTTTTATGGTGAGTGCCTCAATTGCGGTCCGACACGTCTGTTGGTGTTATTTGTCTGCTTTCGACAATACTTTTGAAGTGAAAACATCCTTAGGCGCGTGTATAGGTCAATCATGGAACTCGCGTCATCGTCACCGAACGATTTTTATTTATTTCAATTATTTGATGTGGTAGGGCCACGCAGCAGTCTTCTCGGTTGCAAGATTGGGTAAGTAACATGACCTCACAGAAGACCAGCGTGAAGTGGATGTGTAATACTTCTGCGTTTCGTCTGATGAGTGAGGTAGCCAGCGTGTATTTTATTAAAGGTGGCAACTCATCTGTAATCCTACGGGTGTTGCAAATGTCAATGGGCGGCGGTTATCACTTATCATCAGGTGCACCACCAGCTCGCTTGCCACCGTCTCACAGAAAAAATATATTGTAATGCAACAACGTACTTATTTGTCTGCTAACGATTAGGTGTCTTTGTTATTAAGTTAAAGTACTGGACCGTCTAATATATTTTATATAAGATTAAGGCGCTAGGTTGCATCAATTTTTTTTTTGTGTCTTAATAATCCAGATGGAAATGAAGCTCGGTCGCTCAGTAAAAACCGCGAATAAAACCATCCTGCAAACAATAATGGGCGCGTTGAAATTGAACGCGCACGAGAGAACTTTCATACGTTCGTTATCCGGTGGTGAGCGACGGTTGCTGTCGCTGGCTTCGTCCGTAAGTAAAAGCCTTCCTAAGAACGCATAAGTTTATCAATCAAAACATTTACAACGTTCATCAACCTTTAGTTGGTGGGCTGTCATCGTTTATGCTCACGCAGGATACTTGTCAAGTTGTTATCAGCACTTAATAAACATTTATGCGCATAAATAAAGGTGCACGCGCGTAAACAAGTGGTGTAGTTAGTAAGATAAAAGTCATTTCTCACTATATATGGGTCAGCTCACCTACGAAATTAACACGACCTTACCTAAACAAAGTGAAAACAATGGTACTTTTTCAATTCGATTGCTAAGAGATTTAACACCGTATTAAAGGTTGATAAATCAAGTGCGATCTCGCAGGAGTCGTTATTTGCCACCTTTCATGAAACAAATAAACTTCTAACAATCGTTAAACTTCTGATATTAAGCTTGGCGGTGTCAACGGGCGCGATGATTCAGCGAAAAAAACATGGCCGACAAGAAATAATCCTGTTATAAAGGTCAAATGTCACACATGACACATTTTTTTATTTCTCAATTAAAGAATGAATAAAAATAGGTACTAAAGTACACATAAATAAAGTACACATAAATAAAGTACACTGGAAACAAACACAAGCTTGTAACGCCAGCTACTAGACTCCATAGAGTAAGTAACTCGTTCATGGGGCGGTGTATAAGCTTCTACAACAAAATCCCAGTAAAGGTTGACCAGGTTTAGGAAATTTATGAAAGAAAAATTAAAGGTTTATTATCATATAGATGAATACATTAATAACAATAAACCCTGGGAATGGGTTGATCGCTCCCAAGCTATTTCTAAAAGAAAAAAAATTGTATAATATTTTAATGTTTTGAGGGGAAAAAAATAAAAGGATACCTACAGAGTACCGAGTTTCTTTCGCCTGTTTTTCCTCCGTTAAAGGAAACTCGTTGCGAAACGGTGATAGATTTAAAAAAAAAACAATGACTTAGATGAAATTTATGTTACTTATGCCGATAAATAAATGATTTTGATTTTTTGCTTAGTATCTACTCTTAATTTTTCTATAAAAAAAGTGATAATTTTTATAAAACCTAATAGCAGGAAATGAAACCAGTTTGCATTCTTCTACGAAAAGACGACCCGTACTAAGAAAATGCTTTGACCTTTATACGGATTCCATTGGAGTGTTATCTCATAACCGTTAACTCCTCATTGATGTTCTATTACAACGTCGTTTGTAAGGTTCAGGGTTATATTTCATCGTTAAGCTGTTCAACTTTATGGGTTAATGACACAATTTGTGTACACGAAACCTTTACGAGCTTTGCTTGACTTGAGTTATAACTTAATATTTATTTATTTTATATTATAACTATTGTTGTAATAAACTAATTGTTGTTATTAACTTTGACTTTAATTATAAAGACTAAAATTATAGTAACAAATATATTGTTATTAATTTTAGAGACCCAATAAACAAGTAAAAGTATATGAGTGAACTTTATGTTAATTAATTAAAACAATTATAAAAATATGTGAAGTAAATATATTAATTATTATTCAAAATCTAAGTGTAAACAATAATACAATTAACTACTGAAAAAACATTTCCAAAACAACACCAAACTTTTTCATAACAGTTATAAATACATAAGTATTTATTTACCTATCTCTTTTTTTATGGAGAAAAGGGGCAAACGAGCAGTTTTTCTTTCCAGCTCCTATCCAGCCCACAAATACTTATCTGCGATGAACCGACGACAGGTTTGGACAGTTACAACGCATCTTTGGTGGTCAGCGTGCTGAAGGGGATCTCGCAAACGGCAAGATCGTCATATGCTCCGTTCACCAGCCGTCCTCAGATCTCTTCAAGGAGTTCAGTTCAATTTGCCTCATGTCCGAAGGGAAGATACTCTTCCACGGAACACATCAGGGCTGTAAAGCACTATTCGACAGGTACCTCTAATTTTTGTTAGGCTTAAATTAAACGCCAATAAGAAATGCCGTCGTTAAAGGACAGAATCACCCATAATAATTAACACCTATACGTGTTATTATGTAACAAAATATTGTTTTACATAAATTTCGATTAATTATAAATTTAGGAAGACAATCTATATGCGTGCGATTTAACGTTAATGAGGGAAAACGTACACTAATTTCGATAGTTGATTAAACCCAATTATGATTTTTTAATCTGTGATAATTATCCTTTTTTTTATCTTCAACGTACGATTGCATTAAAAAGATATTTTTGTACTAAGGTCAATTAAAACTTGATCTTAACTCGATAAAGATTAAATTAATATAAATTTATCTTAATTGACAAGCTGATCTAATTTCTCCAATGACCTCTTTTAATGTACAAATTAATGTTGACTCTTAAATAAATATTTATTTTCTGTAATTAAGTTAAAACTACGTTTTCCTGATCACTTGCAGCGCATATAGCAATCAATTCACTGCGCATTATCCAGTTTGAAACGAGCTTTTCGCCTGACTTGCCCCTTTGCTGTATTTACCTAATGATAAGGTTAAATTGCAATTTACCAAGCAACCATACAATAACGGATAACTGGTATGTTTCGCCAGTCTTGTCTTCGTCTTGCAATAAGACATTTTCAATTCCGAACACGCCACGCCGCCAACCTTTAAGGCCCTTTTAACCTATAATCAGTCAGTTAAGTCTCCGATAGAAAAAGTCTCAAGACTTGTTTAAGTTCAATATTTATTTATATTCTCACCATAGATACTGTTTGCAATTTGTCACCGATGATTATTCTGCAATTCATCTATGCAGTGCAAGATTTATTATATTTATAGCGCACATAAGCTCCTTTCTATAAGGTAGACAACTTGTTTATTGATACTATAGATAATATTAAGGTCCCAACATCGCATCTCTGCATGATGACACAATGATGTAATAACGTCGTTTACATTGGAAAATAATTTAAACTTTATGTACGCACGTAAGAAGTTATACTTCTTTAGCGTAAACACATTAAATGCAATTGATAACGGTTTATTTAAATAACTTCGAATTATTGGTAAATGTCAAAAAGTTGTTATTGGACGCATGGTAATGCCGTTAGGTTGCATCCAAGCATGATGATACTGCCTTTGGTGCGTTTGGAAAGTATTATGAGAGTAAAATTTTGTTAGTTGTTTGCAAAGCGTTTGCGGGGAAATCGTTTTGTCATGTATTTTATTCACATTTGTCTGACTTTACTATTCATAATATAAATGATCACGACAATATTACTTAAACAGAGGTGCCCTAGACGTACCGTAGCCTAGTTTTTGGAATTGTTGAACTTATATAGCAGATTCAATACTATTCTACATTTACATTCCACTATTCTACTATTCTACATTAACATATACTCTTCAATGCTATTCAGGCTTCCCCTTCCCTTCCCATCCTTCCCTTCCCTGGATTGCCATAATGATACAACTACGGTTCCACGTTTCTCCACGTTCCACTCGCTACGTTTTGAGGCTTAATCGGCTGTAACACGGAAGCGATAAGCTATCTCAGTTTACTAAACAAAACTTCTGAGCCGTAAGGCCTGTTACTAAAACTTTTGCTTCATGACCATTCTTAATTTAGACTTGTTTATATACACAATATGGCCGATAAAAATATAGACAGTTCAATTATATAATTTAAAACCCACAATGCTATCGTCCGCAGTCTTCACCTTGTGAGATATGACACACGGATGTGGCTATATATACGGATGAATTAAGGTCCATTATCCCAATCCATCCTTCAAATATTTATAACACAATAGCTTCACATCCTCTGAGACCCGAGAGCTTATTTTAGTTATTAGCCCCCATGGCATCTAGGTTGTACGTCAAAACTGAAATATACATAAATCTTTTTAGATAAATTGTGTTTTATATTTAGAAGAGAATAAATTATTATGTCATTTGTTAGGCGAAACATGATATGTTAGGCAGATTAAAAAGACGGATTCATCGCTTGTGTTCCTTAATAATTAGCGATCGAAGTAACCTTTTCTTATAAGCTAAATAGTTAAATATCTGGCAATTTCGCCTCCGTTAAAGTTTTAAAACTGGTTAATGCATATGTTTCCAGTTCCTGCGTAGGGTAAAGGTACATAAAACCTAATATTCCCGAATAAATGAGCTAATACAAAACTGGTGATTCATGAGATTAGTGCCATTATTATACAAAATTATACGATTAAATATGCATTAATATAATATGTATAGATTATACTAGATTTACCGATCGGTAGAGCTACATTCTATAATGTCTATAAACCTTCGTCTCGGCAAAACTAATAAATAATGTTAATATGACATCAATTGGCTATATTAAAAAGGTTGGCGAACACTAACATACGCGTCAAAAATCGCACCAAAAATAATACTAGTGCCAAAACGCGGCCATTTATAAAGATTCATGATAGCTTTTAATTTGATGTATAGGATACATTAATTCTATATTATAACATGCATGGCTTTGCTTAATAAAGCTGGTTCACATAATAATAACATTTTTATAATATTTTCGGACACATTTTTACACAACATTCTATAGTCCCAAACTAAGGAACACTTGTATATTGAAACATACATTGTAAAATAAATACATAAATATATTAATACAATATATAAATTAAATACATATTATACATATATAAACACCCAGGACACTGGATAAACACTATGTTCACACATCAAGTTTACTGGTAGAGAATGCCATAGGCATTAAGTCTGCCCATTGTAGCCTTTAGGCTAAGGTGTAACAATGAAGTATAAATAAATAAATATGTTCAATACTCAGTATTTTCCTATAGTAGGGATCGAACCCACACAAGCGCAAGAGGCAAGTTCACTACTCCCCACGCCAATCGGGTCGTCAGGGTAATGATAATATGACATCGATGTTTAATACATCGATGTGTAATATTCGATGTTTTCAGCGTCGACCTACGATGCCCGGTGAACTACAACCCGGCGGAGTTCTACATCAAGGCCGTGTCTAACGCGTGCGGCAACGTTAACCACGTTGAGAGGATCTTGGAAAATTACCGGAACCGGTTCCGTGGGTGCGAGCCTAGTTACGAGGGCCCGACGGCGACGCCGCGGCCCCCTATGTGAGTAGTTTGGCCCCGTTCGGCTATTTGTTTTAACGAACACGCCCACCGATTTCGACACGCATGTTTTCCCACATAGCGACCGACCACGACTCGGCGTTGGCGCGTTCGGACCAGATTTCGATGGAGTAACGTTTTTTTCCGTATCCCGTATTAGGGATGTGCCGGTGGCATTTTGATCTTGTTTTTTTTTTTTCGAATGGCTCGTTTGAATTATTACCTCGTGAAGTGTAAGGATTTTTATCTGTAGTACAATATTAATGTTCTGCTTTTCTCACGTTCTAATATTTAAGGCGTGGTAATAAATATAATTAAGAGGAATTATTTTCGTTTCATCCTTAATGTATTAAATAGACCTATTCAGTTAAGATTTGATTAATTAGTATTTGCAGTTCAATCTTTGCTCAATCGCTTTATGATATCTCTATTTTTTTTACTATCTTTAGCTTTACAAAAGAAATCAAAAACATTTACTGAATTTCTTATATTTTTTACGCCTTAGAGTAAAGTAACTTATATTATATAAATGTCAATAATAATCTGCGTGATGTTATTAAGGATCCAGGACATTTACATCTCGTAATTAGCGATAATTTTAATCGAATCTTTAAAGGTCAGATCAGTAGTTACATCACTATATAACGAGATGCCACATCGTAGGAATCACCTTAGATCTCGCAGTTAAGTTTAAAATATACACCGAATGCGTCACGTTCATGGGGCCATTAATAATGTTGCACAACATTTTGAAACAGAAGAATAACGAACGTATTTAACGAGACGAAGGTTGTGTTTACTTGAGAGTAATTACATAGCTATATGTAAATCTTTTGAAGAGTGTATGAACTGCAAGTTAGATTATGTACAAATCCATCTATGAGTAACATAACGTAGAGCTTTCGTAACCAACAATTAATAGCACCAATTATAAAACTGTTAAATGAAATTGTTCCACGATTTTCAACTATTAAATCTTGTTTACAAATTAGCGAACTCCGGACGTTTTAATGCATGGTTAAGAGTTAACATTTCAATAATTCGGTCCGATTCATGCAGAATTTCTTCTTCCTTTTTACATATATTTTTTATGTTAAATAAAATTGTTTTTCGGTGGTAGGGCCACGCAGCCGCCTCGGCTGTTGCACGAGTGGGTAGGCTCGTCCGGATAAGTACCACGACCTCACAGAAGACCGGCGTAAAGTGGAAGTATAATACTTTCGCGTTTCGTCGGGTGAGTGAGGTGGCCGGAGCCCAATTTCCAAAAGGTTGTCAACACATCTGGAGCCCTCGAGTGTAGCAGATGTCCATGGGCGGCGGTATTCACTTTACATCAGGTGAACCGTCGACTCGTTTGGCAACTTTTCACATAAAAAAATGTTAAATAAAATATTTCGTAAACGTCATGGAGGTCATGGACTCTCACAAAACCTTCCTTAACTAAACCTCGCATTATTTTCCATTATATACTGACAATAATAAAATAAAGGAACAAAGGAATAATCATTAAACTACTCTAGAAATACTATTTTCTATTTTTAATTATGTGGTATATATAATAGGGTTCCGCCTCCAATTAATTTAAACAAGTTCAAGTCAGTAAAATACTTTAGTGTAACAATGCCGTATTTGCAAATATGACGAATCATCGAATACCAAATGTAAACTCAGTTGTCTACGGACGTCATCTATGTCGTTTGGATATACATTGTTCCAATGTAACGTTATCAACAGATTAATCAGAATTATTATTTTGCAAATTAAATGAAGTTTTAGGATAACGTTTTATAGTCCCGTATTAACGTTTATTTATTAACCCAATCTAATTACTCTACTCAGGTTACCTTCTTGCGTTAAATGTAACAGCTTCTGTATTAAAAATAAACTACAAATAGTTCGTTTGGTAAAGACAACAATCCAAAAATAAGATTATTGTCCGTGAATTTCTCAATACTTAGGTTTGTTATTTACACGCAACTATTGACTTGTTTTGTTCTCTTACCATCGCGAATAGACTAATCCTGAAGTTCTAATACGTAATGTCAACTTAGGCTATTCGGTGCCATTATAAACACTTAAACTAACAGATATTTCAACGAATGCTAATTGACGTACATAATTTTTTTGAATTAGACAGTACATACCGTAATTCACACTTAGCAAAAAGACTCTTTTATCTATATAGATATTATATATTCTATTGGAATAAGTCATACTTATGACATATTCGAATATGAAATATGACATTATGAGTAGCTTGAAAATATTAATAAAATTTCATAATACTTTGTTATAGACACAAAATAGAGCCATTCATCTTCATATTCAACTATACTCAGCTTAACTAAATAGATGCTTTGTAAGAATATTTTAAAAATATGCCATGTTATAGCTTATAAAATGTTGTATTCCTATAAAACCGGACGATAAAAGTTTATTGTGTACCTATGGAAAATTGTATCTAGTGGATTTGTCATTTCAAGTCTATTGAAGACGCAGTTATTTACTACTTTAGTGAAAAGAATATTAAGAGTTATAATTATAAAGCCGCGATTTACATAATTTTATTATATGATATATTTTGTTATTGTAATAAATTGACCATAATAACAGCTATCCATGGACAGGTTTGCCTAGACAGATTGTTATTTTCCTGTCAAGATATATACTTTTTATACTGTTCGTAAAAATGTTAGGAATCTTCATAGAAAAACTACTAATCTAGAACAATTATAGAAAGGAACAAGACAACCGCGGCGTGTTTGTTACCTACATAAAAGTAATATACGAAAGAAAGTTCAACTGTGCGACAAGACATTAAAGACAAATTACCTTTCAGATGCCGTAGAACCTGGCCGAAACAAGTTCAAATACTACTTTGGAGATTTTCAATCCGATTTAGAAGGGATATTAAGATTCTTGCAATCTCATTACTGTTATCTACGGTATGTTAATCGATTTTTCTTTAATAAGACATGTAAGTGACAGTAAAGTGTTGATTTTATGCTACGACTGCAATGATTTCTGATTTTGACAAGAACAAGCCGACTGAACCGAATTATCAATTAGTCCAAATAGTATGTATAATTTTATCGTCGGTTCAGTGTAGTTGCTAAGCTACCTTTAGCGCTTCGGGTCGTGAGATCGACCTCAATAACTGTCAATTATTTATAACGTTAAATAAAAAGAGATAGTTGTCTCTAACATAGTTGCACGTATTTGTACAATTAGTACAATTGTCTATTGAAAACACTGTTTGAAGAAAGAAAAGAATATTTAACAATAACTGTTTTATCCCTTGATTGCAATGACTTTTAGTTTAAGTTTCTTACACCGCGAAAAGATCGTAGAGTTACATTTCATGATCGTCATTATGTCAGTCTGTCCCAATACACTCTAGAACATATGCCTCCCCAGAGACTGCCACGAAGTAGGATCTTGAGCCACGTGTATCCATTGACTTCACGCACATATATGACAACAGATTCAACTAAACTAAATAAATTCATGAGAAAAAGAAGTCTTAGCATACATAGATAGACCCTCTAGAAAATGACGCTATAAGGGTATTGGGTTTCCACCTTTTTTAATCAAAAGGTACCGATGGAGGTATTTTTTGAAAAAGATATAGCGATGTAGCTATTCTGGATATTAAAAGTTATCGAGAACGAATTAGACATTAAAAACGAAGACTGTGTAAAGTTTCAAATAACCATCGACAATTACGGGTTTTAGATGTGACGAAACATTTTACACTTAAACTAGATCAGTTAATTGTATATATTTAAAATCTCGTTACCCAACGAGCCCAATCATTAACTGACATGATATAAGTAGACACTAATGACGTTTACAGGTTTCTTGGAATTTGTTCCATTAAACCGTTTTTTTTAATGATTATTATCTCCTAATATAAAATATACAATCCAAGAGTTATTAATTAACTTTGGTTTGATAACAATCTTTAACTAACGTATCAATCTACTACTGGCTTACAAATTAATATTCTAGATTAGAATGTAGCAATATACAAAACAATATAGGATAGTTTGTGGTAATATTTTTAAATCAGCATAAGAGAGAGCAGAGATAACTACGGTCTGACCTGCGTGTATGTAATACCGACCCCTTAAAGGTAGGTACCGCACTACAGTGGGTGTTTATTCGTCACCCGCACCCTCGTATCCTGTTGGAACTGACCATTCACCATCCAAAACGAGTTCCAAACCAGGTTCAGGTTAGGCGAATTCAACAGCCGGTCACTTCAAGCCCGGTGGATATGTAAATCCTCCTAAAGGCCAAGAGTGAACAGCCAAATTAAAAAAAAATCATCATCCCGCGAACTGCTTACACTTCTTTCGTAAGAAAGGCCGCTCAAGTGCATTTGGCGTAATCTCCGCAAGGTCTCGTGTTTAATGTATTATTCCATAAGCTTGTAAAGCTCTTTTGAATGCTCTCCGAAATTATGTTTACATGAAGTACATATACTGAACACCATTGCAGCCAGATGGTACAATTTGGACACAGATAAAAAGCAATTGAACACCAGCAAGAGGCATGGGTTAGAGTCTAAATGTATAATTCCTAAAATGTTATACACAGGCTGTTATTTCACTTTTTGTGATATGCTGAATTTCTATCCTCTTTCAGATTATCGGCGCTGTAGTGATCGGCACTTGCTTCGCAGGCAGCACTGGGACGACGCAGACCGGGGTCCAGAACCTGAGGGGCTTCCTGTGGCTCATCTGCAGCGAGGTCTCCTTCAGCCTGTCCTATACCGCGCTGTTCTCGTTTGAAAGCGAACTCCCTTTGTTTAGGAGGGAAGTGGGCGTGTACGCGGTGTCAGCATACTACGTCGCGCGTTTCTTGAGCGAGGTAAAATTATTGATGCGAGAAAGTTTTTTTTTTAATTCTTAAACTGGCTAGCACTTGACTGCCATCCCACCTGATGGTAAGTGGCGATGCAGCCGTTGATGGTAAGCGCGCTAGCTCAGTAGAAACCTATTCACTCTTGCCTAGGAGACGCCAACGTTGTATTCGAACGGAAAGACGGACGCAGGCAGGCTATTCCATTCCTTAGCTGTACGGATGATAAATGAAGAAGCGTATCGCTTTGTTCTTGTACGTGGAACGTCGACAGCATAAGGGTGGAGCCCCGCCGAACGCCTAGTTGTCCGATGATGGAAGGGGGCGGGAGGAATAAGATGATGTAACTCCAACGCACACTCCCCAAAATTGCTATTTTTAGGATACCAATAATACTATGGTGGGTTCACGCAACAGTCCTCTTTGTTGCACGAATGTAAAAAAGTACCACGACCTCATAGAAGATTGGTGTAATTTGGTAGTGTTATACATCTGCGTTTCATCGTTTAGCATCAGGTGAGTAACTGGCTCTCTTGCCACCTTCTCACATAAAAAAAAATATGTATAGGTAGTTAATTGTGCTAAATTGACGCATCGGAAACAAAGATACAGAATAAAAATGTTGATTTTTAAATGTTTTAGTCTTTAGTAATCTTTAATTTTTATTAAACAAACTAGTTAATAGAAACATGTTAAACACAAATTGAACTTGCAATTGCCTTCTACGAAACGAATACCGGTATAACTAATTAAAAGATCATTAATGTTAAATTTCACAATAATAAATTTGAAAGAAAGTAATTGCACCTTGCGTAATATTGAATCACCGAGGCGGAGTAAAAGTAGTGCGGGGCTAACCTCAATGATTTTAATGACGGTCACTTGTAAATAAAAAAATAATGTCATGAATAACACGGTAAAAGGACACTACTTTTACCGCGGGCCGGTTTTATATTACGGCCTACCTGGTTGAAAAAGGGTCGCCTTCGGAAATGAATTTGAAGATAAAACCACTAGGTCTTCGGCCAGTTAAAACTTAACTGAGCTTTGAATAGTTTCAATAATTCATTTGAAACATTTTATAGGAAGGTTGTTTTGATATTTATTTGTCTTTTAATGCTTTAGAGTATCCATAGTCAACTTTTGAGATTGTACTTTCTTATTTGGCTCGAGCGTCTGTCGACATTTATAATATTGTCGTAAGGTTAATTGACAATCCACTTGCTACTAAGGTTTTGGTATTAGCGTTATTATTTGTAACATTTCTAGGCCACTGTTGTTAGGCACGCAAATATTGGGAGACAGTAAAGTAAAACGCTGTTCATAAAATTCTTTCCGACAGACGCAATTTCATATAAAAACTAAAAACTAATGTAGATACGAAAGTATAATAAAATATTAGTATAATTTACAAAAATTCACCGCCCTCCTGCCCTTATCCTTCACTACAACATTTGTAGCATGTGTGAGTGGTTTTTCAAATGTCATTTGAGTTGCCAAAAGTATGGTTAAACTCTCTGAATTAATCAGAATGATCTTCTTTATGATGAAAATTAGAAATTGGAACAAAAAGAGTTTTTTGTTATTTTTTTTTATTTCCTACAACATTTTGACAGGTAGTATATGTAAAACAAGCACTACCGGTTGCATGTTATTGTAACCTAATTTGAACACGATGTCCTGAGACTAGCAGCTCCTCGATTTTTAATACCTACTTGGATGCAAAACTGATCAATGATAACCGTTGACAGTACAGGGGAACAGGACATTGACAACGAATAGGTACATATTTTTAATGTTACAAATTAAGACATATGCCAATTTACCTACACGGTTCTCGCACATTAAGCGTGGGTTTGTAGAGTGCCTACACTACGGGTAATTAATTTAATCATAGACTGATGGACACAAGACGGTTGACGGTTAATTTATTCACAGCATTTTAAGTAGAAATAAAATATTTATGCTAATATAGAACTGATAAATAGCCAGATTAACAGCTCTATCTGTAACGTAATGTCCGATTTTAGACTCTACTGTCAATGTGAAGTTTGCGCATACCTATTAGAAATGCTGCTCTGAAAATTTATGTTTCGAATTGAAAACTATTTCGACATTTTGGGCAATTGAACGGGAAAAGAAATTAAATTATATTATAGATGAGGGAAGCACCGAAATGTTGCTGATGTAAAAAAAAATAATTTCATTTTATCTCTGTTAAACATATTTCTAATTGTTCTATAGTATTTTTGATAAGGCATCTTAAAATTAAACCTTATTATTGATTTTGTAAAAAATAGTTACTCATAATTATCGTTTAAATTGTCAGAAATATAATAAGTCTTGTGCAAAATTTATATTGCCTAGTGTTTTGTGATTTTCTAGTGATGTGTGAATCATTCATACTAAAACTAATTTAAAAGTTAAAAAAAAAGTTTAAGCTCCTGTCGGCAGTCCCCATGACTGCTTAATTTTTATTCTTTTAAACTTGCGCATTTTTTCTTTACAGTTAAAAACTACATTTCTAACCCCATTAAATAACGTTGTGCAATAGTAGGCATGTTTGTCAATAAGTCAGTTATGGCGTCAGTTTCTTCTTTTGTACATTCAGGAAGCTTATACAACAACGGCTAACGCTCTCAATGAAAACAGGACCTGTAGATTTCCGTCCGTTTCACAATCATGAATACTAACGTTTCAATAACAAGATTGATGTATAATTTAAGAAAAGTACGGGTTATTATTTATGCTTACGTATATTTATTATTTTAATGGCTTACTCGCCAATTATTACACAGATATGGAAGTAATTTATTTTTAAGTGGACAGTAAAGTGGTTTACAAGCGGTTTTACAATGGTTTCTTATTGTAGTATTGTATACGTATTTTTCATATTCATTTTGTCATAAAGAACTTTCAACATTGTTATCATAAATATTGAGCATTAAAACCGCCAATTACTACTCTTTATTTATGCAAAAAGTAGATATAAATAAATAAGTTAACAACAAAACTAAAGCAGTCATTTTTGAACGGATGCTTTATTAAACTATAACTGCGTGTAACGTAGGGGGCGATATTCTATAAATATGAGATATGATGAGATGAACGTTTGTAGATTTATTTTGAGGTCCTTCAACCCGTGAAGCGATTTTTGAAATAGGTTGAGGCAAATTTGGTGTGAGTTGTATGGTTGTGTTGTTAAATGTAAAAAAAAATTGTATCTTGTTAGTAATACGAAAGGCGGTAATTAACCAATACGCTTGTATTCTTACCCATTACTCAACCGTTGTAAATATGTGTGGTAGGGCTACGCAGCAGTCTTCGTTGTTACAAGAATGGGTAGGTCCGTCCGGGTTAGTACCACGACCTCAAAGAAGATCTGGATGGATGTTTGTTACTCTTTCACGCAAATACTGCTGAATGGATTTTAATGAAACTTTACAATAATATAGCTTATACCGCTTATATGTATCTATATATATCTATGTATATAGCTTAAATCGGAATAAGGCTTAGGCTATAATTTATATACATATTTCATGTATATCTGCCATTCTGTCTCAATGTTACGCCTTCAGCCTATTCTGCGCAGACGTAGTCGCGGGCAGCAGCTAGTGTGCTATATATATAACATATTCTAGCCAGTAGAAGATCATCCTTTATTGTACTCAATACAAAACTTGCTCGCTTACCTTTTTCCCTCATTTTGTGTTTCTCCTGTTGAAAATACCTAATTTCAAGCAGATGCAATCATGTTGCGGTCGGCCATGGTTGCCTCATTATCGCATCTCAGACGACATATTCATTAAAATTGACACTATAATAACGTATAGTGATTAATTCTAGTAGATATTAAAATACGAGGCATTTTAATATCTTCTAATTATTAGTAAGGTTAAAGAAGGTTTCTTATTTTAATCATGTTCCCAAATGTTAATCAACATAGACTTTAAAGATAAATATAAAAATGTAAAAAATAAAGAAAAAAATTCTTAACGGTGTCAAGAGTTTTAAAGGCGCTTTACGTCTATCTTGGAACAGACATTTGTATGCAACTACATATTAATTGATACCAATATATTTACATCAAACATAAAATATTTGTTTTACGTTAATATATTGATATCAATTTGTTTCGTTTAATTATAATATACATTTGTATATGTCAATCTTTATTACCTGTTGGATATATAAACTACTTACATTTTTACAAATCGCTCTAATTAAATTTCAAAAACACGAGAAGGATTAATTGCATAGAATTCGTAATTTTTGAAAACATTCCACGACGCTAATTTCGGTCACGTAAGATTTATGGTAAGGAATAAAGTTAGCTACTTTTATATCTAAATCATTATTTTCCTTCAACCAACACGGACGTGAGGTAAACGGATGTTAAGGGGTTTTATGCAGATTCATCCACTTTTAAAACCCATACAAACTAAAATAGAAAACCATGAGTCTCTAAATTAACTAGCATAAAAGAATTTATACAGTCCTGATCGGAGATGAACCGACGACAGATTGGACTGTAATATTATGTATAATTTCAATCGATAAAGCTTATTAGCATATCTCAGTTGACCGACCTCTTATATGACGGATTAAGATGTTCACTTTCTCTCCTACAGGTACCAAGATGTGTCATTTGGCCGATTCCATTTGTAACTATAACAGCGTCAGCCGTCGAATTGCCCAATCATTTCGTGACTGTTCTAGAAATCTACTTTGCCCTTCTTGTAACAGGGCTGGCGTCAACGGCATACGGTGAGTATGAATTGTAGTTTGTAAATGTAAGTTATAACATTAAATCTATCTAAAATTAAATATTATCTAAAAACCATAATTCACGCGGCATGGTGCCAAGAAAGCTAGCTGCATATCCTCGCAAGCATAACTATTCAAGTTATGCTTTGAGCGAGAAACAACCAGCTCTTTTGTCCCCAGCCGCAGCGTTAAGCCTTGGCCATAAACCTTTAAAAAATTTCGATGTGCGGAGACCCCACGGACCCAAAGTTTCAACAGCAAATGGCACAAGTACATAATCTAAACATAGCGACTCATATTTGAATATAGTATGAATTCAGTTCATATTGCGCAACATTATTACAGTTCATCTGTAATTTAGCCTTGGATAAATTGATTTGGTTAGCAGCTTCTTCTAAAGCATGAGTAGTTCAGCTTCTCCAGGAAAGTAAATCTTCGTAATAGAAGACTTAAAGTAGAATAGGTAATAAATCCCTGCCCCCTTAAAGGTAAATGTGAGGAATCCTGGATGATGGAGATGTCTTTGATATTATCAGGCGAACCACCTGCTCGTAGCTACCTACAAATATTAAAAAAAATATAATTATATTAGATTAGTTTCTTACAACTATCAATAACATACAACCAAACGGATAGAGTTATAAAGATAAACATGTTAACTGAAAATAAAGACATAGAGAAAACGTATATTATGATTTACGATATCAATATTCTCATAAAGAGTCGGGAATGACGAGCGAGATTAAAAATATTGTAGGAAAAAACAAGCATTCGATAAAATCAAATACAGATCAGAACACCTGCGTTGATCGTTTTTTATAGAGAATTATTCATGCCTTAACTTCTATTGACAAGCCGTTCAGTTTAATATGCAAAAAGCCGTCAACTAAATGTTACTTCAAATTGGCGAATCTAATTTATGAAGTTGTATAGTCACAAATAACTATTTACTTTAGTATACAATACCTTCATAATTATTTCTATACAAAGGGCTCTTGCAATGTTTGTTTTATATTATAACAATACATATTTTTAATACGTAAATAATAATGTAAACCGTTAAAACAAATAAATGTGGTGTCATTTACAGAAAGGGATATGAAACTATCTAATATATAAAATTCTCGTGTTACGGTGTTTGTAAGTAAAATAAAACTCCTCCGAAACGGCCCGACCGATTTTCGTGTGCATATTGGCCAGAGTGGAGAATCGGACATCTATTTTTCATGCCCCTAAATGTTAAGGGTGGTCCACCCCAACATTTTTTTCTAGCCTACAAATAATTTATATGGAAAAACAACGTTTGCCGGGTCAGCTAGTAGTAATATAATAAATATGTCGGATAGGTAAAAAAGTTTTTATAAGATGAATGCCGCAAACCAAGGTACGGCCACGCAACAATCTTCGCTGTTGCACGAATGGGCAGGTCCGTCCGGAGAATTGCCTTTAGAATTACCACGACCTCATTGAAGCTCGGCGTGAAGTGGAAGTGTTCTGCGTTTCGTTTGGTGAGTGAGGTAGCCGGGGCTCACTTTATTAAGAGGTGGCACTCATCTGCAACCCTACGGATGTTGCAAATGCGGCGGTTATTTACCTTCTCATATAAAAAGATACAAATATTTAGTAGCTAAACAGCAATGGCTAAACGCAGGTCATTATAATAAGAGCATTAGTCACAAGTTTTTATTCCATACTAGCGATCCGCCCCGGCTTCGCGGGTGCAATGTATAATATATAGAAACCTTCCTCTTGAATCACTCTATGTAGTAAAAAAACCGCCATCAATGTCCGTTGCGTAGTTTTAAAGATCCAAGTATACATAGGGACAGACAGACAGCGGGACAGCGGATAGATTCGGTGGAGGTTACTTTACCCAGCTACAACTTACGAGTATAACTCAAACTCAAACTCGACTCAAAATATCTTTATTCAAATAATTTGGCGCTTGCGCGTTCTTCTGATGACGTCAAGTTGTACCTAAGTCCGTGAGGAATTTACCACGCAGCGACACAATCACTTACGGCTATGCTTCTCATAATACACATTGCAACCTTTGTCTCTGCCGAATATGGACGGTATATTGTTAAAATCCTTCTCATAGGTATTATATATTTTCCTATTGCACCTATGCAGTATACGTTTCCTTTACTCCATTGGTTGCCTGGAAGAGGTCGCTATGAAGCGATAAGGCCGCCAAATTGTACATTGCATAAATTCGTTGTTCTATGCACTTTTATGTATACTCTCATTTGTGGTGGACAATAAAAGTGTATTCATTCATTCATTCATAGGTCTCGGCATGGGTGCTCTATTCATTTCGAGTGGAACTATGGGGGATGTGATGCCGTGCACGGATTTGCCCCTGTTCCTCATGTCGGGCGCCTTTCTTCGCATCTCTTCCCTTCCTGTTTGGCTGTACCCAGTAAAATACATCTCGCATTTCTATTACGCAATGGACGCAATAAGCAACATATACTGGAGGCAGATTGGGGAAATTGGTAAGTACATAACATTAAATGTCATTGAAATTTTATTAGTAAAGGCTTTGAAAGGTTCTCTTGTGATCGACATAAATAAGACGGTAAGACTACTATTGGAATTATTTATAAATTCTGATACTAATACATTCCGTTAGAAAGCTAATTACTGGAATGTCCCAGACGTAAAGAAGTCAATGATTTTTTTTTAGTGATAAATTGTATGTCAACTGTTATGTGTGTCATTATAAATTATGTCAAGTTAGTTAAGTCTAAACTAATTGTAGTATTATAATATCTAAACATTAATTATTGCAAATATAAACGGTCAAAAGAATTCTTTACGTAATAGTGGTGATGTATTGCGAAATTTTTCATCAGACGTGTTAAGTAATACTCTAAAATATATTATAGGCCTCAAATATTCTAGAAATTCGTAAGTTTTATTTGAAAGATCGTGGCAAACTAAAAAGCGGTTTCCTTGGTGGTAATGATTAGCATAACCCGTAGGGCCCAAACCCGTGGGTTCCGGCTAGCCCACCGGTTCCGCGTCAGATGAAGCTTTAATAGTCTCGGACTGAAAGCACAAACATCAGTTAATATAAACAAAATAACCCGTAGGGCCGTCATCTCATTCGTCGTTAGTATCTATATTAATGCAGTCTGCAGCGACTGTCATGACTGCATAACTTTTTTGATGCAATAAAACTCAAAAAATGATTCTTTCCCATCGCTTTATTCTTTTATCAGAAAACTAAAAGCGTACTTCGGAATATAAACATGCATATAAAACAAGATCATTTGCGTCCAAGAAATGCGTGTGATTAAGTTTACAAACCAAGGTCGTTTTTCGGAGCGGCTTTAATTTACAATTATGATAACGTTTCCGGTACCCAAAAAACTTTGTCGTTGATATTTTCGGGCATCTTGTGCGGGCATGTCGGGGCCGCGACCCGTCCACTCACTAATGTGTTATACCTTCTAGAATATAATTTCTATGTTCCGATGAACTAGCAAATAACACGCTGACCTTCGGTACAACACGTACGCTTGTATGAATGTTATTTGTTATTAAGTAAACACAGTACAATGCAATACCGTACACTCACTTATTTTAACAATAACACGAGAAAAATTCGTCGACAACAGCAAAGCCGACTTCTAATATCTCACTCAATTAACATTTTCTGTTTGATTTTGACCAATTCCCTGATATATCGGGGCCAAGGTCCAATATCAATGAAATTAAAATTGAGCCACATGACAGTTAAACAGAAGAAAAAAGAATTTTTGAAATCGGCGACACATTATTAAGCGGTAAAACAAAACACAACCGAATGGAGCAACTGAAATTTTTGAAGTCTATTTAAATAGAAGAGGAATAAAGAAGTTTAAAATAGTGTCAAAAATATCATAAACGAATCTGTAAACAAGCTGAACTTACGGTAGGTTATAATGAAAGACGGGACCAAATAATGAATTACGATTTAATTTAAAAACTCGCCTAGTGACTCTTATAAGCTCCCTACGTTAAACATCGCCCAATCTGGCACCTCTTTGTGTCAATGACCGCTAGAGGCATTTCGAACGCTATCTTCTAGCGACTGGTCAGATTTCAACTAGATTCTTAGTAGTCGTTAACATATCTTTCTATTGTCTAATTATTTTAACTAAATCACTTATTTGACTACATGTCACAAGTCTAATTACTCAATTTAATGTTATCAGCTAGTGTAGTCTCCATTTTTACTAAAGTAGGTGAAATATCTACACTCAAGGAAATAAACCGAAGTAAATTTACTACTTCTTGTATCGGCAGAAAGCTTTGCGATTAAATCGAAACAAAAAACCTCGAGAGTTGACGTGACAAGTTTTTTTTGTTACAAATTGGCTACTGGTGCTTAACACTATTGTGGCCTGAAAGATTTAATAATATAAAAGAATGCGCTACAAAGGTTTATCTAAAAGCCGCTGTCAGCTAAACAATGTAACTTATGCATTTTAAGACACACACAACTTTAAGAATTCGTCGAACAAATATTATAAATATGAATATTTTTTTCTAAATGTCTTTGTACCCTAGCCGCAACATCTGAATGGATTTAAATAAATTTTAAATAAAAATAGTTTATCAGTTGGACCTTTTCATTCTGTTAAAATTCACAAGTTCACACAAAAAAAATCCAAAATGGGCGGCATGTTTGTGAAGATACATCCGCTGTAAAGGTTAATGCATATTAATTTTATTAATTTGGGAATTATGTGTATTTTATCAAAGTAATTACCTACAGTGTTTCCAAGGTCTTTTTTGTAGTTTTTCTTATAATGTTCACCTTTTCCAGACTGTCCTCTCAACACGACCAACACTTGTGTGAAAAACGGCGCGGCGGTTTTGATGGAGAATGGATATTCAAGCAACTTTGTACTCCAAGACACTCTTGGCATATTGCTGGTTGTGACACTGTGGAGCATCCTCGGTTACTACGGTTTGAAGAAGGAAAAGAGAAAGGGATACACTTATTGAATTGTTATTTCATGTTCTATTTCATTTACTACGCTAGGTACTTTGATTTGAAACCGAAATTTTTAATCTCTATGGTATGCAATACAAAATGTACGTTTGGGTGGCTTTCTCAAAACTTCACTGTCACGTGTGACAAATTCCCGTTCACGGGGCTTGATAAGTAGGTTCAAAGACTATAGTATCCTTATTTTCTGTTTCAGTAACGCAAGGCGAGAGATTTTTTATAAATTGGATATAATCCTATACTGTGTAATTTATGATAATAAATATTAACTATTATTAATTACCGTCTAAAATGTTATTCTGTAATCGTTGAATAATTACCTAGCTGTTACTTCATGTTCATATAAATATTAAAGTATGATGGTAACGTAATTACCATAGTGCGTCATATGTAAATGTACACAGACTGTACACTTAAAAGGATTTTTTATATTAGTGATTGCATTCTACTTACGTGATTTTCGCCAAAGATTATGGTGAACGTGAATTTTTATCACAAAGTCCAAGCCACATAATAAACCTCTGTTATACCATATCACTGGCTGTTTCATGCGATTTCATCTGTGACGTTTCTGCATCGCCCTTCTTAGATTGTAGGGTGACGTTGAATACCCTATAACCTTCCTCAAGAATTGGGCTATGAAATGCAAAAAGATCGTTTCAAATCCGACTGATAGTTCCAGAGATTAGCGCATTCAAACGAACTCTTCAGCTTTATTTATTAAGAGTATAAAATTATCTATAGCGTAAATCGAAGAAATCGCATCACACGCTTACCGAAAGGTGTGGCTGAGTATCTTGGTATGTGTCATTTATCTGTCATTCCAGTCGCTTTCAGTCCTAACGAATGTATAAAACCTTATTCATTAGTAAATACTGGCAGTCAAAGGGCACTAGACAACAAATAAATAGCCGTTATAACTTCGTAATAAACACTCGAACACAAACCTTCATGTTTATCTAGGTAATTTATTACGAAGTAGTCGATACCCAACACTGAGTTATGAATTTCTGTATACTATTAATTAATCTGTTATCACCGTGTGATTGAAATTCTAGTGTTTAATGAAATATGGGTAGATATTAAAGATTTCGTTTAGTCAGTTTAAACAAAAAATTGTTTCATTTTTATTAAATTATAAGCAGGCCTCTATTAATGTATTTGTAGAAACATAGCAATGAATCAATGAATATACACTGATGAAAGAGCAAAGGGGCTATAAATAAAGAGATAAAACACATAACCTTATTTAATATCATTTATTTAAAAAAAAACATTTAAAAATGAGTGTAAAACTGCATTATTTATATGATTTTCCTAAATCGATAAAAATTACATATCCTAATAACATGGTAAAGAAACATCGTTAATAAAATGCACATTAAAAGCAGTGATTTATATTTGAGTAGCATTAAATACGTGATATGTCAATATATCAAAACAGCAGTTAAATTTTTTCCAAAATATATCTTAATACTTGAAATGTGAAGTATTTTTTTTGCTTTATAAGATTGTCGCCATTAAAATCCAAAATACCGCTGATGGTTAAATATTGCTCTTAAAAATACATACTTAACATTAACAAGGTAAGTAGATTTACATCCCGACATTATTCAAAATTACCCTGCTTTCCATTCGGAACCTACACATGCAGCGATAAAAAAATGTCACACTATGTTTTCCTTTTAACAAATATCGAGGGTAAAACACACCAGTGTGTGGACGCAACGTTTCTGTTCGACAAGAGACAAGCGACGAGATATTTTCTCAAATTTACTAATACACCGGCGTCCCCCGACTCCTTTTTATGACCATGATGAAGGCTACGATATGGGCGACGGAATACATGATGAATAGGCAGACGCAGTTGCGCCAGAAATTCTCCTCAGCGAAGCCGAACTTCCTCAGCACTTCGGGGCCGGTTTTAATGCAGGGCACGCCCTTGGTCTTGCACTCGATCGTCTCGATAGAGTCCCACTGCAGTATGGAAATGCTCTCAACGCCGTAGTAGAAGCCGGAGACGTAGCGCAGCCAGGAGACGTACGGGGAAGCGCTGGCGAGATTGAGGTAGATGCCGGAGAACATCGTACCGACAAGGTCGAACGGCACCGAAACCAGTGCCGCCGTCTCCATCTTATCGAAAACCGCTGACAGGAAAGAGCCTGAAATAATGACACGTTGAGTTTCTCTTACCTATGGCTTTATTATTGGTGGGCTAAATATCGGTGAACTGGAACCTTGATGTCTGAGAAATGTTAATAAACATCTAGCATTCTTCGACCAAGTAATGTAGTATTCTAATCGGCATGTAGATAGATCAGAAATTAATACACAATTCTCAAACAATTAAGTGGATTTACAAAACAAATAAATACTTGACGCAATTTTTGACATTTGCAACACCCGTAGGGATGCAGATGCGTTGCCACCTTTTAATAAAGTCAGCTCCGGTTAACTTCACCCATCAGATGAACGCAGAAATTTAACACTTCTACTTCACGCCGGTCTTCTGTGATGTCGTGGTACTCCCCGGATGGACCTGTCAATTCGTGAAAAAGCAAAGACTCTTGCGCAGCCCTATCACAGCTACCTTTGACCAGCGATGGGGTATATATGTAGGCTGTTACTTTACTTTGAACATTTATGTATGAGTTGTGCACCGCATCACATACAGCTCGGCATTCGAATCGCCCGACTGTGTCAGAATATTCAACTTAAGGAGTTTTGACTTCTAACCTGTCGAAGTATAGCATAGAGTTTGGTAAGTAAATAAAAATAACCTTCTTAAATATTTACCGTAAGCATTCGCATAGTTAGCACAGAGTATGCACACGAAGCAGAAGCCCAGCCAGTTCATGAAGCCCCCTTGCAGGCCGGCCACGCAGAAGATGAGCGAGACGAAGAGAATCGGCTCTATGACAGCACGTGGAATCTGGAAGGAACCGCCAGGTGAATCCCCGTCGATGCTAACATTATAATAGTTGCACGCCGCATTTTACTTGCGTACTTGGTATATTTGGCAAGCCATCACCGTTTGTGGTGCGTCTTCGCCAATTTGATGACTCAGTGGAGGTCCCGGGTTCGATTCCCACACGGGACACCCATTTGTGTGATACACATATATTTGTTTCGGATCTGGGTGTTGGTCCACATGAAATTTGTGTTTGTAAAACGCCCTTACAACACAGGATAATGTTTATCCTCAAGCAAGAGCAATCCCAAATCTTTTAAAACACCCGAATACGCAGAATGAGTCATGGAAATAGACAGGTTGCCATGTATGGACGGTCGCATTAAAGTCTATTAGCACATTTCGACAAACATTTTACCGCATACAAGAAATGTCCAATATTAGACGCAGATAACCGACTAAAATTCCACCATATACATGTAAGTAAAACTTCGATGGTTCGTGTGATACGATTATGCATTTGGAACCAAGTGATAACAATAGCCGAGCCGTTTATCTAGTAATAAAGTTGTTTGGGCTCATACGAGTAGATACGCCATATAATAATAAAAAAAACTAATTCAAAGTTCACCAAACCAATCGTGTTGCCGTTATGTGTGCAACATCCATTCTCAACATTCTGTCATATGAAAATGATTTTAAAGTATAATCACAAACCACACCATCCATGACACAGATAAAAAATAGAAAAGATAGATAAATTGCTGTCAATACAATAGTGGCCAACCGTCGACAAACGTTGATTGTAATTACATGTAGTACGGAAAGTTGAATGTAATTTAAATTTGTCCACCAGTGCGAAGCCGTGGCAAGATTGTTAGTAATCAATAAATCGAGCGCGAATGTGTGATCGCGCGTTGCATTACACGAGAGAAAAACGAGCTTGCTTGTAATTAATACGTAGAGGAGACAGGTTTGGAAATCGAGGCGTTTGTAGATAGTCGAACTTGATAAGCGATTTTAGTATTTATAACACAAATGCGCAATAGAGCCGCGATAGATCAGTGTCCGGCTCTTGCTTTTAATTACTTATTCTTGGACATGTTAAGTTCAATCTAATGAAAATGCGCGCGATGAACGAGCACTTAAGTGCTGATTTATTACGCTCGATGGTGGTTGAATACAACGCTGTTAAATGTAATAAATAATTAAACTCTAATTTGCGGTGGTAGGGCCACGCAGCAGCCTTGGCTGTTGCACGAATGGGCAGGCCCGTCCGGGTAAGTACCACGACCTCACAGAAGACCGGCGTAAAGTGGAAGTATGACAAATACTTTCGCGTTTCGTTTGGCGAGTGAGGTAGCCGGAGCCCAATTTTCAAAAGGTCGTCAACGCATCTGTAACCTTCGGGTGCAGCAGATTTCCATGGGTGGCGGTATTCACTGAAACATCAGGTGAAACGTCTGCTCGTTTGGCAACTTTTCACATAAAAACAACATAATTCTAAATATTAGAAGATGGTCTCTAACTCAGAAGAGCCACGATAGCTCATTAACTGAGCGCTGGCTTTTATTTCTATATACTCGAGCAACCTGAATTCGATACCCGGTGTCAGCACCAATGTTATTTTTAATTTTAATATCAGTCTATCACGTGCTCAACGGTGAAGGAAGATCGTGAGGCAGCCTGCATGTTTAAATAAAGTTACCATCAGTTTGGTGCTGAATGAATAGCTAGCTCGTATGGTAGCAAATTAGGGCAATGGAAATCGGCAAAATAATTATGTCATTTTCTATAAATAAATATTCCAGATGTTACGAACCTACCACAATGGTGACGTTATACAAAGTCATTAGCAAATATCTCCGTATCGTCGAATAATATGAATGCTCTATACTTATCACATATTTTATTTATTCTTCGAAAGTCTAAAAATAATGAATGGATCTACATTCTAAAGACAATAGCAATAATGAGTAGATGTAGTTAAAATCGTTGTCCAATTCAATAAAAGTAAAATTTTCATTGTTCAGGCAACACTACTTTGGAACTCCTTGCCTGAGGGCCCTTACAAGGCCCCATTTAAACGCAAGGTCAGGACTACCTGAATTACCATCTGAATGTTAAATGTTATCGTTGTGCTACTCATTTTATATATGAACATTATATTACTTAAAGGTGTATATATTATTATTGTTAACAATATCAATGTCATTATTGCACCTACAACATTGTAACTCTACACCTCGAGTTGACTGGGAGAGAATGCCAAACGGGGTTCGTCGTTTATCATCTTTTTTTAAAGTAATTGCAATAGATAAGTAAAAAAAGCGATGGACATGAAGAACCACTTACGGAAAATGATAGCATAAACTCGCCGTCTTCTTATCCTAACATACATTACATAATATATATATATATATATATATATATATATATATATATATATATATATATATATATATATATATATATATATATATATATATATATATTATATATATATATATATATATATATATATATATATATATATATATATATATATATATATATATATATATATATATATATATATATATATATATATATATATATATATATATATATATATATATATATATATATATATATATATATATATATATATATATATATATATATATATATATATATATATATATATATATATATATATATATATATATATATATATATATATATATATATATATATATATATATATATATAATATATATACAAATTATAACATATGTCTTATTCTGTTGTATAAATTATATTATTGTAAAGTTTCATTAAAATCCATTCAGTAGTATTTGCGTGAAAGAGTAACAAAACATTCCTCCATACATATAAACTTTCGGGTTTATAATACCAGCTGTTGCTCGCGACTACGTCTGCGTTGAATAGGCTGAAGGCGTAACATTCAGACAGATATACATAAAATATGTATATAAATTATAACCTTTGTCTTATTTGCGTGAAAGTGTAACAAACATCCATCCATACATACAAACTTTCGCATTTATAATATTAGTAAGGAATTAAGGATTGTATATATATATCTATGACTTATGAGCGTTGAAGTCCGTCGTTATGTAAAGACTCACCCAGAATATGACCTTCGATAGGTAGTAGGGCAGTGGAGCGTAGAGCCCACTGGCAGTCTCCCGCAGGAGAACGGGCACTTCGCTGGGGAATGTGATGAAGACGGCGTATATGAACAGGAATATGGTCTCCGTGATCGTGAGGTACAGGAGACCCTCGGCGTTCTGTATGTCACGCTGGTCCAGATCCTTGAAGTGGCCGGCGTAAGGGACCGATATGATCAGACCCACGAACTGTGGGAGAAAGCTACTGTTAATAAATTGTTTCGATTCGTTACTTTTCTTTATACTCTTTTTATGTACAATGAATTTATAAGGTTTAGTAAAATTCATTGTAGATTGTCAGATTAACATTAAGTTTGGTGGTTCACGCTGTTCGATCTGAAATGTTTAATGCCTTCATATGGTTTTAGAGTACACACGTTTTAGTTTAGACTGTTCTTACAAATAAAACGTCATTTACCATAGTTATTTTATCGATTTTTTTGTTCTGTCAATTAGTTTACTTCTTGCCCGGAAAGATTACCAAATTACCAAAAGTAAAAGAATATTTTATCAATGTGCATAAAGAAAAAAAAAATGTAACGCGAGATTAGTTCCGGATTTGATTCAAATGAAAATCCTAAATAATAGTCTCAACGATACCGAAAGCGTGGATCATTCTAGATTTAGAACATCAAGGCGCCTTAGGTCCGCGGCTAAATGGTCATCCATGCATTATTTACAAAAACGGGTATTTGACTTTTATCAATCAAACGTGTGATATCGAATGCGGTACATTAAAAAAAACTAGGTTAAATGTCGTCGATCCGTTTAACTTTTCCGTTGCGCGAAGGTGGCGGAGTGGTTGACCGTGGGAATCTTCCATGGTTGAAGGCCTCTGTATCGTAAGGGCCCATAGTAGTTAGCGATTGACGTAACACATAATACGGTCCTTACTTTCACATTTGTAACGTTCATTACGACCCTCACAGATTCTGTTCTTTATTAGATAATAATCTCTCATAATTTCTGTACGTGCGACTGGACTAACTTTGGTGAAATTTTTTGTGTGTTCAAGTGGATTCGAGAATGTTTTAGAATCATTGGTCGGTTCAGTACAAAATGTTTTTTGTCGTGTGTACAGCATAAAGTCCCTCGGGTCCGCTAGTAACGCTAGTAATGTCACTAGCATGTGCCCGCGACTTCGTCTGCCCCGGATTAGTATTTCGGGTATCTTATTTTGTTCTCCAAGGTCCTATCTATCTTTAAGCCATAATTCATCAAGGTCGGTTCTGCGGTTTGATTTGATTCACATCATGACCCTTTGGCCGAGAATCGAACTGCGCTCGTTGGGATTTACCCCAAGGCATCACCGAACCGCTATGCGCACGTCCCCAACATGCTGCTACTGCGGTCGTTGAGTGGGAATTCGGAGAGCTCCAACCCAATCACTCTTTTACTGTGTAGAAACGGTTCTGTATCTGTTCGGTTCTGCGGTTTAGTCGCGAAGTCGTGACAGACACACAAAGTTAGCTATTTTTCTCTTTATGCAGAGTTCAATCTTATGTGTTATAGAAGATGTTACAGTCTTTGTGCTATTCTGATGTATAAGCTATGTTATTGTACAGTGTACATTAAAACCCATTCATTAGATTTTGCGTGAAAGAGTAACAAACATCCATACAAAAAATCTTTCGCGTTTATCAAGTTTAATCGCGCGAAAGGTTAAATATAACATTTTATACTATATTATATAATTTAATTATATTATATTATGTTCCTCCTCAATGCGACGATTTTATGAAATTATAGGTTTCGCTGTTTATCGCACGTGTTTCATAAATTACCGTATCGTTGAGCTTTAAGCAACAAGGTCACAGCGGCAACAACAACAAACACACAGAAACAAAACGGTACTACACAGCCTTGTGTTGCTTGCCTTACGCAAATTAGGAAATAACATTAAATTTTCTGTGTGCACGAAAAATTAAGAATTAAATGTTATAATTTAAAAAGAAAGGGTATGTTGCAAAGTTGTATGCACATACAACATTGTATACTTATGTGCAAACATTGTATGCATATAAGCATATAATGTTTTATAGCACTATAAAAAGATGAGCATAGACAAGAGAATAAAAATAGTTGTAGTACCACAGACAAGTTTAATAACAGTTTTTGTAAGTTTCGTAGAAATTACGCAACTAAATAATACACTAATAATACTCGATGAATATGTATATAATAGATAATAGTCCACCGTGATGATGAGACGCCCTGACACGAAACGTAAATTACCCTTCAAAACAAACGCAGTTTTTTTCTATGCTTTTACAATGTACAATTGCTATGTCTCATGCCATACTAAGATTTCATCAAGCAGTTGGAAAATGTAAACAATGCGGTGACCTTTTAAACAACAGATTGAAAACAAATACGTAAGAAGTTGTCGGCAAGAGAATGTCGATGTGAGAAGCCGCGTATTTACAATATAAGTAGCTTGGGAAATGTTTGTGTTGGAATTCTAGCATGTTCTTTTTACTGTGCAGGGGAAAGTCTTTAAAAAGGAAACAATCAGAATAGCTTACATACCATCAAAAGTAAAAATTCGGCTATCCATATGGTGCTGTTGTGTTTTACGGCGAGTATGTTCCTCCACATCAACCAGTAAAACTGAACGAAGTAATTTACTTTGACTCTGTAAAGGAAGTTAGAGTTATAAAAATAACCTGCCAAGTGCGAGTCGGACCTGCGCACGAAGGGTTCCGTACCACTATTTATAAAAACGGCAATAAAAATATCATGTTTCTTTCTAACAAATCATGTTTCTGTTTTTTAGTTTAGTATTGATTGTTGAAGCGCAGCAGAAATAGATCATCTGTGAAAATTTCAAGTGTCCAACTATTACGGATCATGAGATATACCCCGATGACAAAAGAACAGACAGACAGACATCGGATTCCCTTTGGGTACGGAACCCTAAAAAGAAAAATGACAAGAATGCACCAAAATCTGTTATTGTAGTGGATACAAAAAACAAAATTTAATACTCACAGTGTTAAATATCGCTCGAAGTACACATTCTGAAACAAGAAATATATATTTAGTTTTATTTTACTTACTAGTAAAACGCATTGGAGTGTATCTAGTACGCGATAATTTTATTTGATACAAGCCAATAAGTTTAAAACGTATAGAATAACATTAGTTTTTATTAACTACTAGCTGTATCCGCGACTTCGTCCGCGTGGAATTTAAAATAAAAAAAATCTAAAATAAAATTAGCCTAAGTTACTCCTTATTACATCAGCTATCTGTTAATGAAAGTTCCGTCCAAATTGGTTCAGCCGATTCAAAGATTAGCCGGAACAAACGGACAGGCAGACCAAAAATTGTAAAAAACGTTATTTTGTCATAAGTACCGTGTATACATCCATATGCATTTCGCAAAAAGTGGTTATTTTAATATTACAAACAGACACTCCAATTCTATTTATATGTAAAGATAACGTAATTAAATAACTCGAGCTCATTGGCTTGAGCGGATTTATTGAGTTCTAACTCACTGACTTATTGATAATCGTGATATACAATTTACCATTTTTGTGAACTGTTCAAATCGATAGCATTAGTAATGCTAACGCAATGTTAGCCTCACTAGATAAACAAGTTAAATATGTAACTCAAGAAACCTCTATCAAAGAATGCGGTCGACTTATATTGAAAAGGTTTCGCAAAATGCCCATAATTATCAGTATTATTTAACATGCATTTTAAACGTGAACAACAGTTATTTACAGTACCTATATAAATTAACGAAGTTCAAACTGACACTTTATTTTTAATATATTTTATTAATAGGCTACATCAGGGTATTTAGCATATCTATAAAATGTATAAATATGCTACACATACTCTATAAATATACTACCACGATTTTCTATGTTTTAATACATTTCTTAGTATTTCTTTGATATTATGGTTTGTTCAAAAAATGTTACCTGATAAATGATTACTTTTACAAATACCAACAACAAATATACAAACTGTATCGAAGTGTTTGCACAGTCTCAAAATTTACGGCGCAAAGCTTTCTGTAGACACTTTTATTATAAATTTTTGTGGAGGCTTCGTCCTGTTTGGTTATTGATGATGCTTTTTTTTTTCTTTTTTTTTTTTTGGCTTGATTAACACTTCCTTGAGGAAACATTAACAGATCCATCAGGCCTGAGATGGCCGGGCGCTGAGGACGCCTAGCCTGGGTCTCGATTATGGGTGACTAACCTCGGGGGCTCTCGAGGGAGCATCGGCTCGGGCTGTCATGCTATTATTATTAGTACCGGTTTGGCCAAACTCTTAGGTGGTCTTCTCAGACGCTCCATGGAGGAACTAGGCTCAAGGAAAGCCGAGGTCCACCGAGAGGGCACCTCGGCTTTGGCTGTTAATACCCGTTTAGCATTCCGATTCGAGGGTACCCGAGAGGGCTGGACCTCGGCTCGATCGGTAGCTGTATTCTGACTAGGAGAATATCTTAAGCTATCATTACGAACACTTCGGAAAGCTCTGGGAGAAAAAGTGGCGGAAGAAACTCCAGCAATGCTTCTATCATTGACGGGGGTTTATGATGGTCTCAGTACCTTTAAATTAGACAATTATTTTTATTTAACGCTTACAATTATCTTTTTTGAGAGCAGTCATTGGATACAACAATATTTGAAAAATTTATAGTAGTATAAATATAATGTATCTATTGTATTGTTACTTATTGGATAGTAAGATAACATGTAATTTAGTTAGTCATTATTAATATTGCTTTTGTTTTATTTAATTAGAACACATTTTTTTTTATTTTATTAATAAAAAAATATAGCAGCACTGCTTTTTTAAGAAAACTAGCGTAATTACAAAAGTTTATTAGTGTTTTCGAAATTCTATAACATTCTGGTAAAGAACGGTAATAGAAAATCGTTCAGTTTCGATTAAATTATTTTTATAACAATTTTATTTAACATTTAATGAGAAAGAGGTCAATTACATTGTACAGGACCTTCTTATTAGCGACACCCCAAGGTTTTTCAATGGATGCACAATACTTTCACCCTTTTACTTATACTCTATAAATTATATTATTTTATATACCCTTACACTTGATTACGTAACACATGATATTGTGAAAGATTATATAAAAAAATATCCGTACTCTTCCTTTCTTATCATGTATGTTGTAAATTCTAAATCTCTTGCACTTCAATAACGTTAACACGAAGCAGTAATCAGAGACAGACGATGAATTAATTTAATATCCGTAAGTTTTTTCGTAGTGTTGTAAACATAACGCAAAAGTATCGTTTACTTATTTCATCGTGACTATACTCCCGTGAGGAATTGCTGCTGAGTATAAGATATTAAATTATCCAAATTCATATTATTTAGTTAAACTTTTATAAAGATATTTTGTGCCGTTTATTTTCTTGGGAAACCTGCAGCTAAACAAATATTTATAAAATATGCATTAATACAGAACATTTGAATAAAGCCAGTAAAATGTTTTCGCATAAAAGTTCTAAAAGTAGAATTTGTGTTAATACAAATAATTTTGGATATAAAGAAGTCGTTAAAAAGAAAAGAGAAAGTGGACAACAATAATAATAACAGATGAATAAGTCTCTGTTACTGAGACTTTTGAATCGATCTCTGTAACTAACATTTTTGAATTGATTGTTTAACTAGAACCTTTTTCACAATGGTGGTTTATGTGTTAATAATATCGAAGATGAATTGTTTGATGAAGGAACACGACAGAAGAATGAGTTTTGTTTATCAACTATTAGTCGTCCCCCGTCCGCTTCGCTGGGTAACACCATCTTCTTTAAGTCCAAAAATATGGGTTCATGATAAGTGATCCCCGACATAGCATATACTAACACCTTCTTCGAAACACGCTGCATCTTATCATATAAGTATTATTCCGATCGGTTCAGTAGTTTTCGCAGTAACAAAAAAAACCAGCTCTCCATTTATTTGTATACAAGATTCAAAGTATGTAAGATAATCCAGTAACCTACCTTTTCGTCGGAGGTCCCGTTGAAATACTCGATCTCGTCCTTGACGTCGCCCACGCGGTTCTCGATGGCGGTCGCGAACTCCGACCGTTGGTACTCGTTGCATATGCGCCGTATCCTGTCCCTGCTCTCCATCTCCTTGTCCACCTCAACGCCCAGCAGCGACACGTAGTACTCGGCCGCGTTGAAGCCCACCGGACATTTGTAGTTGAGACTGGCCGAATAGAACGAATGCATTTTTCGCGTCTGTTTTTATTTCTTTCTTTTTTTTTTGGATGAGTAGAATTCTGGACACGTTAATGTTTTAGTCCTTGTCACACCAAACACCAAAATGATCGTCGAACGTTATAGTTGTAGTATCAGTTTTTGGCGACATCAATACTTCACATTCCGTTGGAACACACGCCTTGTTTAGCGTACAGGAAAAAAATATGTAAATTTATCTCATAAGATTTGTTCTATAAATAAAGTTGCGCATCAAGCATTTACGCGGACGTAGTCAGATAAAGCTCGGATCGACTTTATTGGGCAAAAAAGGCAATAAATATAACGAAAAAACTTGTCATCAATATAATAATAGCAACGTCAGTAAAAATATTCGGGTGAAATTTCTGACTCTTACTTTCAATCGCGGCTTACGTCCCTGACCCTTACTAAATTTTATTAATAAAATGTTAGCTTCTAGTTCTAGTTTAAAACTTGTATGGCTTAATTTATTTTAAAAAATTCTCTCTCATATATTAGTTGTAACATTGTTTCTTTGCTTCTATAAGATTATAAAATAATATCAACAGTCCCAGAAACTTCCACATATTGGCGAGAATAGATGAAGAGATATTATCGAGAATGTGTTGTCATTTACGATAGAGTAGTAACCATCTGTTTACACCAATTATTAGGTAATTATAAAAAGACCAATGTGTATCGGAACAGCTATTTATAAATTTCCAAAAACTCTGCACCTCATGGATATCCGAATTTCGTTTAACATCCATTGTTCTGGATGTGTCCCATTCATAACTGCATCCATACACAGTTGCTTTATGTTCTTCTTAAGAAGACGTGCAGAGCCTTGGGTTAGGTTAAGGAGTTTTTTGGACATATGATAAGAAGATAACATCAAGGAGCAGTATATTATCCATGCGAGGAAACCAAAGAAGGGTTAGAAGATAAGATTAAGTTTAGTCAAGTCTTTATCGTCCAACACGCGCTGGGAGAGTGCTCAGCCTGGACGGAGCAGCGCCGAGAACTGTGCGCTATCGTGGGGCACGACCACTCACTGCCTGCCGTGGTTCGTGCTATGGTGGACAGTGAGAGGGCGTGGGTGCTGTCCTTGCATTTTGTGAGGACATAATCACCCGGAAGGAGTCCGCGAAACGAGAAAGGGAGGCAACTGCCACCCTGGAAATCCGCCGTCGGAGTCCAGGGCGCAGGAGGATGGCCTACGCGCGCAGGTTCCTCACTGATAGCGAGCCCTGGGTTGGCAGATGTGGGATTAACTGCTGCCCCGTGGAGGAATCGAGAGGGATGCCGTGGCCACTGCACCCGGGAGAGGAGGCCTGAGAAGGCCACAGTCGAGCCGGGGTTCGCGGAAGATTGCGTCATCGTGTTCTCGTGTCCCCGGCAAAAGTGACAACACAGAAGCAACGTGGGTTTTTTAGAGCGTACCCCGATGTTCCCAAGTATGGCAAAGTAGAAATTAAAAAAAAATATGCAGCAAAATCTATAAAAGCCAACATCTATTTTAAAAATTCTAAAACAACTAAATGACTGTTCTTATATAAATGGCATAATGTAAGTTACTTATATAAATGAAACAGATAAATGAAGCATGCTAAAGTCAAAACGATATAAGGAAACACAAACAGTGCAATAACACATTAAGACCGTAATTTCTAGCATCCGAATATACAAAAAAACCTCATTTACTTTAAACAGCGTACCCGAGACTTCCACATTCATTGGTAAGCAAAAAAAGTGCACGATAGTGAGTGGTCTGTTCCTTCTATTTAATTTTATATCTTGGCTTTGTATCGACACGAGGTAACCGGAAGAAGTGCATGTTTATTTAATATCGTTCAGATTATTGGTTCTTTTTTGTAGACCTCAACGACACGAAGCAATTTATTCTTTAATAAAGATCGCCTGAATTGTTGTTGAATTTTAATATCGTTTCTTGCCAATTGCATTATAAATTATCTCTCGCAATTCACTTGTTAAAGTATTACCGCAAGCAAAAAGCATTATTCGAGTAATCAGTTCTAATGACCTTAGGCTACTAGCTTTTTACGTTCTAAGCAAGAAAAAAAACCTAATTGTTATTATTGCCTTCATGTGAAGTATCTATGATATAATATATTATTTGCCGTGAAAAGAATGTTTACGTATTATACTAGCTTTTTGCCCGCGACTTCGCTCGCGTTGAAGCCCTTAAATAAATATCAAGATATTTTCAACCCTTTACAACACTTTTTTTCAATTAAAATATAGCGTTTGTCCTTTCTCAGGCTCTAGACTCTCTGTGTGCCAAAATTCATTTAAATCGGTTCAGTAGTTTTGCCGTGAAAGCGAGACAAACAGACAAAGTTACTTTCGCATTTATAATATTAGTATGGATAATATATACTATGGATAATAAACACTATTTTCACGGCAAATAACAAAAACAGACAAGTCAACAAATTTTCTATCATTAAAATACATGCGTAATATCAATCATGATAGATCCCTGCTGTTGATTTATTTTATAATTCCACGTGAATGTTGTGTTTGATTTATGACTACTATTAAGTTAATAGTGTGAAATGATCCACGCGGCTTCACCTACAACCGTTTTATTAATGTAATATTCATATTATTTTTCGTGCTTTCCGTACATAAAAAAATTGAAGCAGGCAGTGACGGCGATGATGGATTTGCTCCATAAGAGTCTCAGATTCCTTGTACGAATTTCTGTCGCGTAAGGTCATGGTTTACCTGTTACGTTTGAGACCAAAAAAAACCTCGATAAGAAGGTAGGTACTCATAACTATCTCGGTCAATTTAGAGCGGGCAGGAAGGGTGAGCTCGTAAAAGGGGTTAAGAATCGACCTTAATCAAAATTTGTGTAATGTATTTCACACAACCACTAATTCAATATATTATATTATTGCCTTCTAATTTTTATTTGAAATTTTATATGGGCAGTAAAACAAGTAAGAATAGTATAGTTTTAGAAACTTATATTTAAAGAACTTGGTATTTCCTAGCATGTTTTCAACGAAGCTGTTAAGTAACAGCTAATAAAGAATAAAGAATTTCTCTAGTTTTCATACTTAAGTAACAACATGTAGTAATAAAGAACTTCTCTATGCCTCATAATCGTGTCCCGTGGAGCTGTTACATAATTAACTTTTTTCGACTTACAACTATGTAGATTTATTACCTGATGTCTGCGTCTTCTCCCAGGGCGCCAAGGTTGTGATTATCTCGTCTATTTTGACGTGGGAGTACAGAGTGGTCATTTTTGTATCGACCCCTACGTACTTAAGCCGTAAAAGTTAAAAAAATAGCTAGAGTGGTAGACAGTAAATTAAGTCCGAAAGCGTAAAAAATAATAGATTGCGTGGGCATCGTTACACCAAAAAGCTATTTTATTACGAAAGTATTTGCCTTGTGTTATTTATTGTGTTGAATACGTAGAGGCTTTTTTTACGTTTAAAGCACGTCCTGTTATGTTATAAATATAAATACGCCACACGAGATAGATATAGCTTGGCGATAGAGCCAATACCGTTTTAGATATAAAATTGTTTTTTTTAAAAGACATGTAAGGTCAGGAAAAAGTCTAATTAATCATCGTTGACTTAAAAATAACGTTTAATTCGAACAGAACATCTCATTCAATCTTTGACAAAAAAAAATTGTCCTAATGAATACAGCCTGCGAGCACTTTAACAAATTGAACTTAATTTGTGAGTTGTAACATCATCGAAGCTTCAGAAATCAAAACTATTAGAGAAAAGATCATGAGGCGTGAGACCCTAAACATCTTATTTTTTTTACTCTTAATTTAATGTCAAATTAAAGTTTCTTTTTTTTATTTTCTAGAAATCTATTTTCTGGCGCGGCAAAAAGTGCCAATGCATTTGCGAAAAATAATCGTGACCTATGAGTAAGGATAAAATACGTGACACAAAAAAATAAGATTAGAAAAACTTTTAAACTTAATAAGATTTGTGGCCGCCATTTGGGAAATCGTACGACCTTGTGATTAGATTATTTTATAGTCTCGTGACAGGTTTTTTTTTTGGTCATTTTGTATAACGGCATTGGAAAGAATGTTAAAAATATATAATTTTGCGGTTCTCTCTTCTGTATTATTAGAAAGGGGACTATTTTATGGCGCGTCAATGAGGAAAAAATGAGCTTATCTGTACTAATAAACATAAAAGCATCATTATTTTGTATATTTACATGAACGCTGCACATTATAAAAGTATACTGTGTTTACGGATTTTATATCCTTTACAGCGTTAATGGTCATGCGTCTTTTAAAAATAAAAAAGCAAACGTAAATAGAGCTAAAATTAAAATTCGCTCATATTACTCTCACCGGGCGAGTAACCTAATGTAAAACGTGTTCCGTCGAAATTCAAATTTATTCGTATACGTTCTTATTAAAAGATTGGTCTTGTATTTTATCTACCGTATGTTTTTAATCTCCAGTTGATACCATAGTCGTATGCCTCGCGAGCTCAATTCTACAATTTTAATTGTAGTCATAAATATCGTAAATTAGTGTTCGTGCATAATAGAAGCGTTTACACTTTTTTACTTAATTTTTCGACATTTTAAGTGTAGTAAGAAGCAATATAGAGGAAATGGCGCATGCGAAGGCGGCTCGCTAGAACACTACAGCCAACCGACATACGAAACATGAGAAAGTTTGCAAAAATACCATAATTTTTTCGAATTAGGCTTTTTTAGCACACAATTTTTTTATTTTGCATGGACCGTATATGTTTTAACTATGCTATATTGAAATAGTGTGTCTAGTTATGTACGCACGTAAGAAGTTATACTTCTTTAGCGTAAAGCAAAATAGCTAGAACTTCTATCCCCTGTGCTTAGGGTTGCCAACCAAACTTTATAATAACGTATCCCACTTTATTTTTGGTAAATATACCTTATACATTTGCATAAAAATAAAGTAGTAGCAAATACTAATAAATATGTGCTTATATGGATAATTACTAAAACTTCATCGATACTAAGTTGAAACAGAACACTTTCAACATTGCAGCCTTTGCTGTTAATTGTATTATATGATTTAACAAAAACACTTTTCATGGCAAGAAAATTTTTTTTTTGTTTTCTTATCTGATAATTTGTCATTTGAAATGTTTTTATTACAATGATAATAATTTTACTCTCGTAATTTTAAACACATATTTATAGGAACAGAGCTATTCACTAACGTATATTGACTGATGAGTCGTTATTAAACCTTTTTGTAAATAGGTTTTGTGGCAACAGGCAATGTGTCAATACCAACGTACCTAATTTTTAAAAGGAATTAATTCATCAGAGAATTAATTGCTAAGACTTAAAATTCTAAATTCTTAACGTTAATCTTAAAATTCTAAATTCTGATGTATGCGTCACAATCACAAGCCTAGTTACTTGAGTTGACAGTTCTTATTATCGCATTATCTTATACACAGTGAAAAAAAAATGTACCTAAAACTTTATCCTGTTTTTATCATACCTTAGGTATTTGTAAAATTGTCGGTGGATAGACTTGAAATATTTTATCCAAACATTAATTTCTTTCTGTTCCTTAACAGTTGACTGCGTGTTTTTATATCCAAGCGAGCAGACGTTCACGTGATGTTAACAGATTAACGTCGACTATGGACACACACAACACCTGACGGATTGCTGATATATTGCCAACCAAAAAAAATGAGCCCCAGCTACCTCATTTACCAGACAAAACGCGAAAGTATAAAACTTCCATTCATGTCGGTCTTCTGTAAGGCCGTGGTACTTCCCCGGATGAGCCTACTCAATCTTGAAGAGCAGAAACCTTTTCTGTGGAACTATTACAGTAAAGTAAATCTTAGTACGGTTTTTGCCAGCTATAGTGGTTTTTATTCATTAACACTCCAAAAGACAGTGTATTGAATTATTAAATGTGTTTGTTGAAATTATTAATGGTTGCTTACATTAGTACGTTTTTTATTTTATCATTCATTCTATACTAAACTGAATGCAAGCGATGCGTGGTCTAGCGTAGATAGTTGTTTATAAAATTAAAAGACCTTGAAGATCTTGGCAGTTCTTTACTCTCACGAATACCTTTTACTTAACAAATAGTTTCTCGATAAAAGTATCAGTCTATACATGTCCCACTGCTGGGCCTCCTCTGTACAGAGGGTATAAGGGTATAGTCCACAACGCAACCCCACTGCGGATTGGCAGACATGAAATATCTTAGGGATGTTTTTTTTGAAGTTTTACTTCTTTTGGCGTGTCCGGAAAAAATTGATGATAGCGAATTTTTTACTACTATTTCGAAAATATGGGGGTTTGGAGGTTTCCTCACGATATTTTCCTTCACCACCAAGCATGTCATAAGTCGGCACTTAAAGTTATCATTTTCGTAGGCACCGTGATTTGAACTCAGATTGCTCAAATATTTTGAATTAAAAAGGAGCGCCCGGACATTTAGCTATCACGACTATAGTGCCTCAAGATACAAGTAAAATAATAATGTATTAGTCATCTACCTAGCAATACCTAATAGAGATCTCTGAACTAGTCACTGACACAATTTCGGAACATACTTTTTTATAACGTAATCTAGTCTCTAACTAAGCAAAGCTTGTAGGTAGGTACCATGCATCTAGTATGCAAACATATTTTTCTTTTGTAAATCAATACATATTTTATAGATAATAAACAACCAGATACTATAAAAACACTATTTAGTTTTAACTTTAGGTAGTAGGGATCGAATCTATTCTATGGTGTAAGAGACAGGCCCATGGCCCACCATCCATTGAGTCGAATCGAGTCGTTATATACCATATAAGTTCTAAAAGATATTCTTCTAACAATCATAAAGAAAATACATACTTTTAAAAAATGAAAACCTCTGTAAGCGCTATAGGAAAATATTGTACATACGATACCGTGCATTTTATATATTTAAATAGCTGGTGATTACTCCAAACCATTTGCGGCAAAAAAAATATTTAAACGCTTCACGGATTGGCAAAGGGAATGCCATCAAAGCTGAACAGCCAATCAAAATTCGCCATTTCCTGGAGCCTTTTTAACATTAAACGAGCAAGAGTCGTTTAATGTAAATGAAAATGGCTCTTATAAAATAATATCGAGATCTGGGTGGTAATTACAGAAAATTGAACACCAATATGAAGCAAACAGAATTGCGAGGTAAACATTGGGCTGCATCAGTAGGTATACCCAAGTAACGAGATTAAAAATCATCAGCGGAAACGTAAAACACATCGACAACCGCACTTAAATGGCCTCCGACACATCGACATTTTTATTTAATGGAAAAACATTAGTTGAAGTAATGAATACCGTGAGAAATAACGACCAAACAACTTCGTGCTACTCCAAGTTAATTTGGTGATGCACAGGTATCGCATTACCTTATAATATACGATAAATTGGACAAATAAAAAATATGATTGCTAACGACAAAGTACATTATGAACTTTTTTCATTTATAAATAGAACGCTTACATGTCATGTAACAAACTCAGCCCAAGCGACATGGTACACTAGAATGGTTAATGCATTTCTTCGAGTATTTAACTGGAACGTAAATCATTCAAAAATGTTTATGTGCGTGGATCTTACAGACCTAAGATCAAATGGCACATATACATAATCTGAACAAAGAGACTCATATTTGCGACACTTCAGCTGACATACGAATTCGCCCCGACCCTAACTTAATACCCTTGGATGAGAGGCTGCCAAGGTGTCTACGGATATAGCATCACAAAAGAGAGCTTAGCCTCTCACCCAAGAGATCCAAGTCAAGCCGTCGGTTCTCTTGTCATGGTGACGAAATATGTCAGAGGTTTAAAATCGAAGAAACTTTGATGGACTAAAAGCCCTACGGATGAAGTCAATCAGTAAATTGTCAGGAAAAGCGGCCAGCATGAATATAAAAATATCATATCAAATCTAAGGTCATATCGTCGGTAATAGGGACGCATCAGCTGTAAATCATGGGACATATTTTGTAATCGATACTAAATTACCGAAATTTTCGACAGGTTAGAAAGATTAATAAAAAATCCTTGCATGAGAATATCACTAAATTTGTGGATAGGTATGACAATCAGCCATTTAGCTCAGTGGCTAAAGCGTCAGTGCGCGACGTGGATTCGATTCCCACAGCGGCGAAATACTTTTGTACTTTCTGTATCTAATATATGTAATCGTGTAGAAACACATTTTAACGTTGAATCTTAAGTGCAGAGATTAGCACTATAATTTTTTTTTAATATCACAAACTTATCCAAATTAAAGTAATGCTGTTCGGATTCGGAAGCGGAGGTACTGTTAACCCGAAGAGATTAGAACCTATTCCAACCTCAAAAGCTAAAATTCCACTTTGTATTTAATCTGGTTTATAGAAAAAGGATTTGGAATAACGACGATGAATACCAACATAATGGGCTGTTTGTAGCATTAGCAATAAAATAGTTTTATTTTACAACGTTAAGTATTTACGTAAATACAAAAATTTTATTAGCTATTCATATGCATGCAAGAGTATGTTACCAATAAATAATTTTAATGGTGATACCTTTGTACTATAAAATATTAGTCATCTATAAAATTTTTCTATTTTGTTAAATAATTCAAGAAAATGAAAATAATATATGACAGCCAAGCATATTAAAGAACCGCCTCAATGTTCGGTACTTATTATTTTTAATTTTATTAATTATTACTAATGAACATTTCTTTAAAACTGATGCACATATTACACCTTTAGCTTAAAATCTGGTAACGTTTGTTCCCAAACTTTTCAAAACTCAATGAATCAATCCAAAGCACTGTAAGTCGTTGTAGATTATTTATTCCATATCTTCACCATTCATCTAAACCATAATGACGCATATGGTTTTAAATAACATTATGTATAAAGGTACGGTTATCTTTTTTGCATTGGCCTTTAAATTTTCAGAAGGTATAAAGCTTTGACTATTAAAGACTATCGGAGAGTGGCATCAATGCATTGGTAATAGCCTTTATAGTTTGCCCAAATGCCCAAACTGTAAAAGGTAACCTGAAGACACAAGGGAGAGGAAATTTTGTAAAAACGGGGAAACATTAACATTTACGAGTTTATCTTATTATTATATATTTATTTAAATCTACGATTACAACCTCTAACGCGTTGCAAACGCGTTGCCAACATTAGGGAAGAGGGCCCTGATTGCCTCACTCACCAGACGATATGCGAAAGTATATATGCTTCCAGTTAACTAACTAGATATTTATTGGATGGTGTTCTAGATTTTAATTTCGAGAACTATAAAGACAAGGGGACGTAATAAAAGGAAAATATCTGAGACATATTCAACGTCTCGAATAGAGAGTCCAAACGAGCCAACCTCAAAACCACGATCAAGACTATCGCTGTATTGTTAGCGAAATATTATTACCGTTGTTTAATACTAGAAATATGCCCCGTGATTTAAATTCGAGTTTTTAAAGTAATGTTTTACATCATATGTCACGAACGCTTTTATACGTTTCGCATTTAAATATCCATTAACGAGACATCGATAAATGTTTATTAATGGCTTTTGGTGAAAATAATAAATAACGTAATTCAAAACCGAATTAAGGCACCGTTTAATGAGAAATAGTAACGACTAAGGAATTTAAGGGCCCAAGAATAACATAACGGGACTTTGAAACATCTACCTCTAATATATGTAACCATAAAGATTAACAATAATTAAAATTACTCACGAAGCGAAAAACTGGTCAGCCTGCTCGATAGTCCCATGGAAGGCGATTCTTCCGTTGGCCAGGAGTACCACTTGATGGAACAGCTCAAATACCCCAGAAGCCGGCTGGTGTACGGAGCAGATCACAAGTTTCCCACCGATAGCCAACCTTCTTAGTCTACTGACGACAGCACTTGCCGCGGAACTGTCCAAGCCAGTGGTCGGCTCGTCACAGAAGAGGATCGGTGGGTCGTTCAACAGCTAAAAGGAGAGAAATGTTTATATTTTTATTTTTTAATTCATCTCATACTTCTTATTGTAAAAAAAGAATTCCCACTTCTTTAATATCTAAAACTGTTGACGTCACGACGCTCGACGACGACAACGATGAGGCACAGTCATGAGTGAACTGAAGAAAATATTTTTTTAAAAGCTCATCCTCTAGGAAAAAATAGCAGATACTCGTGATCTCATAATATTCTATTTACAATTTTTTTTAACTTACATGATGACAAGAATAAAATTTTAAATTAAATGATTTTACAGTAAGTACTGTCGTTTAAGTATATTCTGGTAAAGATAGTCTGGATACAAAAATCATACCCAATATAATTTCTACATCAGGGATAAGAGCAACATGCGTGTAGATATTCTAGTTAATATGTGATTTACCAAAAAAAAAACCGAGCAAAGCTCGGTCCTCCAGGTACTAACAGATTTAATTCTTAAATAAGCCATTTTCAAGCAACTTACTTTCTTTATAGTAAAGTGAAAGAATTAGTTGGCATTTCAGCATATGAATTTAGGTTACTCGAGTTTCAAATTGTTTAACAATTTTATCTGTGTATTCTTGCCAATAAACAATTTAAACCTGTTAATATTTATGTACCTCTTCAAAGTGAATTCCTAATTATGTAAATCTTTCCAGTTCCTGGTTCTAATTTGCTTTCAATGTCTACAGACCGCTTTACAGACCTTTTAGGCCGTTATGGTCAATTCATTTGCCTATAACAATCGGCAAGTTGGTTGCATTATTAATACGACGAATGTGATTTGTAATAAATGAGTCTGCAAAAATTATTATTGAATATTTATGTAACTTTATTTTGTTTAAAGAATTAGAACAACTCCGTTAATTTATTTGAAACGCATAAAGATTATACTCCAAATATAAAATGGATGTGGTAAAGTGTAATCTAAATGTTGTAATTAAAATTTTTGTATTTATGTATAATTCTACATATACTATTGAATTATATAAAATACTATAAAAGGAGTTATAGATGCTGATGATTGTTCGAAAACAATATTATGATGCAAAATTATTAGAAATTTATTACCTTGACTTTAAAAGCCGTAAACGTTGATAATCTATTTATTGAAATAGTAATATTTAAAATAATCGAATAATTCCATAAAAGATTTTTTTAATTATCGTTAATTATTACAATTTACGATTATCGCCTCGATGCCTTTAATGGAATTTATGTCTATAATATTTTATTGTGATCTACTTCGGTATTTTCGGATAAGTTTTTAAATATTTTGAAAAACTAACATTATTTAACGATAATCTCTTGCTACTAGGTGGGCAACTGATAGCAAAGGTATTTATTACACAAGATTATAATAAATTCACCATTGTATTTCTCACCCAACACTACACATATGTTAAACAATTTCCTCTATAAACATTTTAATCTATTTTTAACTGTGGTAGAGACACGCACGCACGTCTTCGCTGTTGCACGAATGGGCAGGTCCGTTTTGGTAAATACCACGACCGCACAGAAGGCCGAAGTGGAAGTTTTATACTTCTTCGTTTCATCTGGCGAGATAGTTAACCGGGGCCCACTTTATTAAAAGGTTGCAACGCATCTACCACCCTTCAGGTGTTGTGAATGTCAATGGGCGGCGTTTATCACTCAACAACAGGTGAACCGCCAGCTCACTTGCCACCTTCTCACATACAAAAAAGAAATCTGGTCACTGTATGTCATTATTTCATTTTACTTGCGTCACCAAGCGTCGCGCGGTAAGCCAGCCAGTCCTCATTTAATTGGCTTACTCTTGTAAGCCCTTATGCGTTCAACGAGACCGTAAGCCCCTTATCAGACTGGGTACGCTTGTGTTTGTGCTAAGTAGGAAGCGTATTTTCTTTTAAAAGAGTGTGCAAACAAGCTTATCGGCTGCCAGTGGTGACCAACCACTGTTTCTGGACAAGTACCGTCGCTGAATGTGAGCCACCCAAAAGTCGACCCAAAATTTAACATCAGGCTGGTCTTCGCGTGTGTTAGTGGATGTGTGCGTGTGCGTGCATGTGTGTGTGTGTGTGTGTTTGACCGAGAAGATTACCTGCACGGCCAACGCCACCCTTTTCCTCTCGCCTCCAGACAGCGCCTTCAACTTGGTGCGGGTACAGTTCACCACGCCGAGCTCGCCCAGCAGCTGTTGGACGCGACGCGCCCGCGCCGGTGCACTGGACCGCTTGTCCATCATCAGACGCGCCTGGTGAAGGGAAAAGTGAGGTAGCCTATACACGCTGGTAGGGCCACGCAGCAGCCGCGGCTGTTTCACGAATGGGCAAGATCGTCCGGATAAGTACCACGATCTCACAGCAGAAGACCGGCGTAAAGTGGAAGTATAATACTTTCGTGTTTCGTCTGGTGAGTGAGGTGGCCGGACGCCTAATTTTCAAAAGGTTGTCAAGGCATCTGCAACCCTCGGGTGTAGCTGATGTCCATGGGCGGCGGTATTCACTTATCAGGTGAACCGTCTGCTTGCTTGGCAACTTTTCACATAATCCTCCTATGGATACACATAGCGTTTGTTGGGGTAAACTACGGGATTCACATTCGGCTCCTGGTAAATCAATTATGCTCATTGAGTTAGCCCCCATACGACAGACATGGCTAGTGTGGGGGTCAGAAAGAAATTAAACTGTAAATAGGCTCCTTAAGAATGAAGTTATTATTATTTGTTTTCTCGTCTGGTTGGGTTTATAGAAAGTTATTATTATTGTTGTTTTTTTATTAAATGATGTTCTCTCTTTTAGTTGTAAAAGGAGGAGGGTTAACTTTTTTTAATCTTTGTCACAATATTGTAAACACACAACAGTTGTACACACCTGTTATAGGTGTACATATTAGTTGCGTGGCCCTACCACAGCTTCTCTTACCTTCTCATGTCTCGAATTTTTTTTGTATTGTTTTCGTAGTTAATAGATATTTGGAAGTCCAAAATAAGATTTTGTTATTTGTGTTATATATAAATTAATTTAGCATCGCATTTAGCAGAATATATTAAACTTGATCACTTTTGTTATTGTATAAAACAGTTTTTTTTTCTCATTTTAATTCGTAATTTTATGCACTATCAAAAAAGCTGTGACCAAGGTCAAGCGGAGAATCGTGACTACAAGCGTTCTTTTAATCACTATTAAAATTAGATCTAAACATATTAATGTCACGAAAATGTCTCACATATCAACGACATTAGTAATACATAATAAACACGGATGAATAATCCAATGTTAATAACTTATTACTAAAACGCGATGCGCGTGGGAAACTGGCGCAAAAATACTAATCTGAATATCGATTTTATGACTTATAAACTGAATGTTCCATTTAGCAGTGTTGGAACGGCGCGGGCGGCACAAAATAAGAAGCTTTCTGGCGAGTAATGATCTCTGATTTTTACTTATCACGAATTGTTTCCCGTGTGACCAGCAATTGCAACTAATCAGCCCAACCGAACGTAACTTCGACTATTACAATAAACGATTAGTACCTTATCCCCATTACCGAAAACTCTAACTCGGTTATTTTCATATTCATAAATGTAATACACGCCATATGGAATTTAAACCTGCGACCGCAGACGGATGGCAACTGCATCCCAACTTCGAGACTAGCGCCACGTAACATAACTCCCGTACGTAATTTTAAAATAAAAGTGATAAAGTACGATCTAAATACTATCCAACTGCCCTTATTCCACCTGGCTGGGGTTGGTACTACATGTGAATCATGTTCCCGTTATCAGTGGTTTGTAAATGGATTTGGCTAGGTTTTTTACGACTGGCCACCTATCTCAAGTCACCCTCCTTCTGTGGGTCACACAAATACTTGTTGTATTGTGTGGGAATCGAACCCACGTCACCTGTGGTCAGAGTCAATAGCTTAGTAATTCCGCCATATTCAAACTTATTGATGGAGAACAACTGAAACCCAAAAGCTAAAACTCTATCCAACGAGAAGTATCAAGCTCTTGAGATCTGGCTATCTCTGGTATCTCTTGTTATCACCGAGTTCTACGTTATTATTTTCTGTAAACGTTCCGATACTTTGGGAGAAGAAGGTCAGATGTCTATGGTATACGTTAGACACAGACATGTCATATCGTAACCATATAAATGGCGTAAAAAATCAAGCCTCGTTGTGTCATGGCGACTTTGCTATCTCGCTAACTCTTAAATCAAAATGTCCTTAAGGTAAAATAAATCTTGCACAAGGCCCATAATACAAATGTCACGATCTTTCCGCATGTTTTCCATACATATATTAACAAATCTAAAGCATTCACAAACGTCATCCGTATAACGACCTAATAGACAAGATGAAGGAAGGGGGTGAAACTAACAGACTTTGGGCGTCTCCAACACAACTACGAGCACAAACAAAGGAACACAAACGAGAAAAACAAACATATTACGTGCACAAATAATCCCCGCGTTCTTGGGCATTGCCGATTGCTCCTGGTCAAAGACTAACACAGGCGACAACCGACGATATAAAGGTCCGAATACAAAATATTGACGCCATGTAGGCAACACGCCTTTAGGCTCATCCTTAACTGACCCTTTAACACAAAGCTGTATATAGTCGGACATACATATACGGACTGCAAGTGTAAACATCAACTTATAAATAAGCAGTGCAAATACAACATTTGGAGCTGAAGTGAAAGAAAGTTGGTAATTAAATGATTCGTTGATGATAATATTAATTTATTACAATCATCTACATAAATAGACTCCGTTTACCATATTCTTATTTTTCCCTAAGTCAGACCTTAGAAGTCAGAAGAGAGAGTTTTTTTATCTTTAAATCATTTCGAAAAAAACAAAAACCCTCAAAGATACCTTTGATTCAAAGCGTACATCCGTACTTTAATTCTTGAGATTATTTTACAGAATTTTGCCTTTGGAAATCTTTTCATACAGGATAGGTTTCACGACCGGAAGATTATTTCAATTTTTAAGAATACATTATTTCTTTCAATTTAAGACTATCATTTTCAATGTTGGTATTAACATTTCATTACTATTATCAGATTATATTTCAAATTTTTATTACCGATGTTTATCCAAACTATAGACGTGTATTAAAGTCGCAAGTTTAAACAGGTGAAAGAAACACGATATTTAACGAGGCTATTAAGTGAAGAATTTGCATTAATTTGTAAAAAAAAAGTGTGCCCAACTAATTAATTATTCGTTTACTATAAAAGCGATAATCCTTTCAACGTGTAAATAAAATAAAATTATAAATATTCCAATAGATTATCTTTCGTTAAAAAAAACGAAAACATATAAAATCAATTATTAAAAGTACTACAATTAATTTTTTGGTCTTTTTCCGAATTAATCGCCGATTAGCATACACAAACAGGCTCTTTTGATGTTTGTCCAACAATGGCCTTAACTTTTAAAGATTTGGAAGAGGATAATCCTTATCTTAAGATGGATTCTTCTTGATAATAACTTATTTGATTGATAACAACTTTACATCTGAAAAAACATGTACTTTTTAATAATAATCGCCAATTTACATACCACACAAACAACGTCATGTGATGTTTGTCTAACAATGGCTTTAACATTAAAAGATTTGGGAGAGGATAATACTTATCTTAAGGTGAATCCTTATTGATAATAATTTATTTGTTGATAACAAATTAAGAGCTTTAAAAACATATACTCTTCTTTTACGTAGTTATTCTATCTTAATAAGGTAACTTATTTTATTATTATTAAACAATAATAAAAAAATCAGCAGCGTTTAAGTTAGCGTAAACCCATTTGAGGAAGAGAATCGTTTCCACTCTCGAAGGATTTCCATCGCGATTATCCCTAAACACTCGGATAAGTTCTTAAGATTTTCAGACATCATTTTAAAGAATTCGCCACAAAAGCATAACTTAACGGAAACTCCATTTACGTGCTCCAACTTTCCACAACTAAATGCTCCATCGAATTCTACAAGATAAATAATTTACTTCATAGATATATTTTTTTAAAGTTACGAGTGCAACACGAATTTTATTTTGTCGATGACACTACATTCAAGTACATTGAAATAAGAAAACAAAAGTTCTATTACAAAAGTTATTTTTAAACGACAAACCTCTTATAAGGTATGCGTTGTTGGTGACTATCATATCATATGGTGACTATGCGTACCATATAAATGAAAACCATTTTTTTACTAACCAAAGTCGGTTTTGACTTCAAATATCTCGCTTTGTATGCATTTTATAATTGATTCTCATGAGTTCCCTAAGTATCTCCGGAGCCCAAGATCCAATACCAGTGAAATTAACATGGGACCACATGAGAGGCACCAGCTTTCAAATAAAAAAGAATCATCAAAAGCGGCTCACTCAGTCAAAAGTTATGAGGTAACAAACATAAAAAAAATACAGTCGAATAGAGAACCTCCTCTTTTGGAGGTCGGTTAAAAACGATACATACCATGAATTCCATATGCTCGCTCACTGTCAAGTCGCCAATAGATAGGTCCTCCTGAGGCACGAAGCCAGAGATACGGGCAATGAGATCAGCTCCAGCCAACCTCCCATTGAGCATGAGATAACCGGTCATAGCGCTTTTATCTCTGCGACTGATTGCCGCTAGCAACGTTGTCTTGCCGGCGCCACTATATCAACGGGAAGCTCATTAAACACAAAGCTCCATTCAGCAGATTAAGTTAAGATAGCAAATTTCAGACAAAACTAATGTCCATATTGACTTCTTGGTTTTACGCGAATATTATACATATTAAATGAAACTAGTTTACGGATTTTGTCCGAAGGTTTCGAACCCTTTCATGGTCACGGGACAGACTAATTTACACGTTTTGATTCAACCCTGGCTACCGTCAATTATTTTGTTTTTTATTTTTATTAATTAATTACAAAATCAACATGAAAACGCGAGAAAATCCGTAAAATAGTTTCATTTAAAGTAATATCCGTTTATTTATTTCAATTTCTAAAAAGGTGTTTCTTTTACACGAAGAAATTGTTAGATAAAATTTATTGTAGTGACGAATTAAACAATCGGTAAGATCGTAAAATATTTCAGTGATCTTTAACACACTACAGAATTTTATAACCTCTTTTATTATTTATAATATTACCTAATAAAAACAATAATCTTTCACATATTCAAGTTGGTCAATATTATAAACAACAATAAGTATCTTTCCATGCCGTGATATTTTAATCGTAAAGTCACCACACAGCACGATTCTCCGTCGGATTAATATTTTATATCGAATTAAGTTTATAATCTTATCTTCTACATAATTCTCACATCGATTGTATAATACGTACATTATGAAATACCATAAATATACACTATGGCATATATTTTAATATTATTTCAAACATGTATTACCTTGAACCCATTAAGGCTACCAAGTTGCCGGAGGAGACGACACCGCTCACTGGAAAAATAACCATCATTAGAATTCACGTTCGATAAGCTTCGCTCAGAACAGGGTTTCACCCGAAGTCCCTTAACGCAGCACATCCTGTCGCTCGAACGCATCAGAGATAAAGCCCGAAAAGTTTCCCATGATAAAAATAATAACACATACATACAATCGTCGCAACTTAAAACACACGTTAACCAAATACCGGTGTGTCCAGTCCATTTCGTTGTAGCGCCAAGAGTGATCTTTCGTTGTGCAACACCTACAGTTTAGTTTGAACGCTTCTTCGACTGAATATTCAATAAACTATTTTATGTGGAAACCGACTCTCGTTTTAGTGGCTCGTAGATTCCATTTTCACGAATTTTATTAAAATGTCGTAGGTTGCGTCCGAAACAAGCCATTAAGATAACGCGGCGACTTTAAAGTAGGTTTAGACGTTTTAAAAGAGGTTATTGTAATGCAGACGAACTTTGCTTGTGTCCGTTTGATAGCGGCATCGAAAGATAACATTCAGAGGTACCGTTTAAATAATACTAAGAGTAAGTGCGGTGAACTTTGCACATTAGACGGCATTCACGAACGAAAGGGGGCAAATCCCATGTGACGAATTTATTAAGTACTTAGCAGTCGTCGCATATGCGCTCCCTACGTCGTAACTTTTAAACCGGAATTATTGTAGCCTTGGAGGCAAACCTGTGACACGCGTTTGTTCGTTTATGCTAATTGAAACATCCAGCTCGGCAATAGTATTTCTCTCCATATGTACAAGTATATTTTACGGGTTCAATATATTTTACGGGTTGTTACAATCAGAGTTTGATCTTGATACAAGTACTAAAAACGAATATAATTATAGTAGTTGCACTGCAACTATAATAATTGTAATAAGCGAAAAACTCATGTCCTTTTGCTGCAAACTTAATAAGTGTACGGCAAATTGCCGGTTCAAATTGTACTCAACGATATAATTAATACTTAAGTTGGGTTAAACCCGGATTTTTCTAGTTATTGCATTCAAGGTGAGAACCAATACCGAGATGTCATGTCATACTCTCCCGTCCCGTAAGCTTTATTTTTTTTGTCCTTACTTTTTGTAACCGGACTAAGTGTAGATTTACGAAGATTAAATTTAAGAAGTTCTCTGCTTTTAAGCAATTGGGATTGGTGACTCCCTCTAGAGTAGCAGTCGGAACTCTTAAGCATCGAAAAAATTCCTTTCAATATAACTTAAAAAAAAAAATTGTGAGTGCACTTTAAGGAATGAGCACATATCTCCGAAGCAAAGAAATATTATACGCGTGTTCTTAAAACATTTTGCAATAATTTTTATAATTGCCAAATGTAATCTTAACCATAACACGCTGGAAAATATCTTTAGTGCAAAAGTCGCCCACAAAAATGTTTTCTTCCTCTAAAAGCCGTTCATACTCACACTTTATTGTTATTATAGCTTACTAACCTCCATGGAGTACTTTCACCTCCTCGTACACGGCCGATCTCCATATACTGGTCTGGTGTTTCTTCTTTCTGTACACGGACAGGTCTTTCCAGGAGAGCGTGAGGTTCTCTGGGTTGTCACCGAGGCCGGCCATTTCGTCGTCCTCCCAGTTCACCACGGCGCCCGTGAGCACGTTCCTCGTTGGCAATTTTAGTCCGGATTCCTTCATTTTGTCGTTACGTCATTTGGTACTGTGCGAAAGGAAAATGATGCTGTAACGTATTTTATTAACGAAAGCATAAGCCTTGTTCCTTCTGATCATAAATTCCTTATAGATAGGTAACGTACTGTATAACTGGTGGTTGTAAAACTGTACAGTTCAAGGAAAAAGTAACATCTAAAATATATTTGAGTAAAGTTAAAACTGTATAGTTTAGGAAAAAAGTTACATCTGAAACATATTCGAGCACGTAGAAAATATTTCGTAAATCGATCTGCAAATAAACTTCTAAAGAATAAAAGGTTTAGTTTAGTACATATAATGCATAGTTTAACTGTTGCATACAAGTTTATGAACTACTTATAACTACATTTAACTTAACGCGGAAGTTTCAGAACCCAATTTCTGTTCCGTATAAATGTTGTGGCTTCTATTATTGATTTCCGATCAGAAATTCAATACGTCTATCAACGACAACGCGGCTTTAAAGTTGATGAAAAAAGTGTCTAATCTATTAGTATACAAATTTCATTTGAGTTGCCTCCAATCAATTTAATGAAGATAGTAAAGAGATTGTTAAAAAAATACTTCGGTCATAAATGCAGCTGTGATAAGTTTTATTGCTATTTTTTGTATACAGAGGCTTTAAGTTTAAATTAGTAATTATTGAGGTCTTATCGTTATGGAATTTTAATAACACTGTTTGGACGTACGCACGTCATGTACCCAATGTGACTTGAGATATACATTTCTGGTTTAAAACGTGTATGTCAGACCAACCCAACCTATGTTTCATTTTATTTTAGCTTTGATACAGCAAAGTTCATAGTACCAATCAATTGAAAATACTCATAAATAAAATAACCAACTTTATCAACGTTTATATTTTTGTCTATTCATGTATTTGTCCATTTTATTCTCATCTACCTGTACCTATTATAATATCTCAAGCGTTCCGTATTAATTTTAAGACACGTGACAGTATCCAAATCTGCCAATTGCATATTTTAACCTTTGATTATTTACCCAACGTATAAATAATATAGTATAAAGATTTTAACATGCATTGATGACTTAATTTTAAATATCTAAAAATAGCAATGTTGAATCTGTAGTAAAAAATGATAACGTTCTCATAGCTCAAAAGATGATAGGGTTGGCAAATTGAATATTTCTATCGAAAATATTTACATATTTATTAATTGAAATGAAAACTTCTTTAGGCGCTTTGAACACTTTTAGGGTTAACAAAAATCATGGAACTCGCATCATCGTCACCGAACGCCCTCCATGACCTATTTTTAAAAAAGGAATACGCAAAAATGTATATTTTAGTTATGGATATATTTATATCATACTGGTGCATGCCGACTGGTCGAAATTCAAACAAGTTAATTTAAATTATAAGTTTGAACAATATTAATTTATTCTCAAATACAATACACAATAAAAGAGTATAATATATGCGTGTGTGTGTCAAGTACATAGTACTGTGTGTAATGTTTTCTATATGGATTTAATGTATTTTTTATGCATAATAAAAAGAATATTAGCATTCTGCACTTCTTTTCTATATGTATAGGTAAACTACAAGTGTGAGAAATTACATACTTCTCCGTCCGCACAATTTTCGTAAAAAGGGGTACAGAGTTTTTGCTTCACTTATTAATATATAGATAAATACTTCTTATCATTCGCACCGACTATAAAATATGTAGAATTAAATATTATAGAATTTTAATTTTGATATTGTTTTGTGTGTCTGTCGGCAGTCCCCATTGTTTGTGATTTTATATTCTTGGAAGTAAAGTTATGTCCCACCACTGGGCAAAGGCCTCTATTATACTGATGAGGGTATTAGGTCATAGTTTACCATGCAACCCCACTTTGAAATATTTTTACTCTTTCGAAAATATACAGGTTTCCTCAAGATTTTTTCCTTCTCCGTTGATAGCACGTGATAAATCAGCATTGAAAATTAACAATTTCACAGGTGCTGGCACCGGGGATTGAACTCAAGTTGCTCGAGTACCTATAATGTATTAAAAGCGAGCACCCGGAATATGAGCTCACGCGGCTCTCATATATTCTTGAAAGTGGGTTTATTTTTATAAATGGACAACGGCGAGAATTCATGAAAATGCATGAACACTTCTATCGCATTATCTATTTGCAAATAAATACTCAAGCTGCATTTAGATTTTATCTTTAAGTCTCCGGCGCCATAGATTTGGACGTATATCACAAAACGACTATTTAACATGTTTAATATTCAAGGCTGAAAAATGTATTATTAACAAATATTTAATGAAATACTACATTCAAATGGGCCATTTTTACCCTTTAAAAAGTTAACTTTTCCTTTAAATAACACTTAAGAGATGATACGACATAATAAAAAAAAGTTTTTAAAACTTAAAAAAAGAAAACAAAAATATGGTTAAGGTTGGTGCTACATTGAGCCGTGGTAGCTCAGTGTCCGGGCGCCCCATTTTAATGCAGTTCACTCGAGCACCCTGAGTCCAAATCTCAGTGCTGGCACCAAAGAAATCGTTAACTTTAAGTGCTGATTTATCACGTGTTCAGCGGTGAAGAAAAACATAGGGTGGAAACCTGAAAATTTTCGAAATAGTTAATAAAAAAAAAGAAGTTAAAGTAATACAAAGAATAAAACTAAAAGAAATTTATAAATAAGGATGTTGTGACGGAAAGGAGAAGGAGACCTTTACAAGGAGCCCTTTGCCCAGCAGTGGGACATATATACGCTGTTACTTTACTACTTTTTTTACTTTTTACTACTGTTTTACTTATTACGCTATACACTATGTAATGTTACGTTACTTATGTAATGTTAATTATTACGCTATATAATGTTGTATCACAAAAAATTAATATAGGCAACATTGTAAAATGTATTGTACAACCCTGTTGCTGTTAGTCTATTAAATCCTAAAATATCACTTCCTGTGAATTGGTGTCGTACCAATTGGTACAATTGAATTAAATTTTCTCACCGTGAATATGTTTATCACCGTAAATAAAACCTGTTGCCGTAACTTTATCTATGGTCACGGTTAAAATTTTACTTCAACACTACATAGTACAAAACAAAGTCGTCCCGCTGTCCCTATGTCTGCTTAGATCTTTAAAACTACGCAACGGATATTAATGCGGTTTTTTTTATTAGATAGAGTGCTTCAAGAGGAAGGTTTATATGTATAATGCATCGCACCCGTGCGAAGCCGGGGCGGGTCGCTAGTATATAATACATTGCACCCGCGCGAAGCCGGTGCGGGTCGCTAGTATTTGATAAAAAAAATGTACTGTGTATAGTTCACGTCTTATCCCTCGAACACACTTAGAAAAAACAAGGCGTCTAATGTATAGGTACACGTATATTTTGAAAGTATTCGGAAGTTACGTTTAAAGGGATGACATTTTTTGACACAAAATGTGCAAAGTTCAAAAGAGACCACAGGGGAAGGTTTCGTTATTGTAAACCAGCACAGGTTAAAGAAGCGTAGAAATTATTTACGTACTCATTAACATCTGATAGTATGTTGGAATAACTCTATCTCTGAAAAATTTTCCTTGATTCACGAACAGATTAATAATCAACGCCGATCTGTCGTCGTATTGGACGGCGCATTAGTAGCACTAGTTGAAGTTAGTTAGTTATCTTCCATTATATTTTAACAAAATACTAATCGAGTATTATATTCCATATAAATTATTCATAAATATTTCTTCAATACATGATTGGCATTAATATTTCTTTTAAAAATATTGGGAAAACTTCACCTATGTTTATAAAAACGTGCAACGTTATCCTGTTTCTCAATAGTAATTTATTGCATAATACAATGTAGGTATAATTTCAACACGTTGTTTTTTTTCTAAAACGTTCAGGCAAATTAACATTCGAAAATAATTATAGAAACGATTTTTTAAAGAGCCACTGGTTTTTAATTATTGTATTTAATTGTAAACATTATCGCATTTCAATTAGTTTTAATATCCCGAAAATCGTACGATTCGGAGTATTAATGGTCACGGGACAATAAATGGACGATAACTATGAAAATTGTCCGTAGATGTCCGTAAGCAACATTCATGAGCCCAATTTTGATGAAACTTATATCTGTATATGCATACTTGATGGCAAAGAATCTTGATTAATTATAAAATTAAAACAAAAGTAAAAGGCGATGCAACGTAGACCAGGCATTAGCGAATTAGCGATAAAATTATAATTGAATATTAGATGGAGTGCCTCATTTAGAATCGCTCGTTTGCAAAAAATGATAATGAGTTTATTAATTTACGGCCTTGTTACACGTAGAACAAGGTCGTAAATTATTCCAGTGGCTGAACTCGACTAGGCTCATATGTCTTTGTTATTATGAAACAGTACTATGGCGAGACGGGGTCGGGCGCGAGTTCCCCCGGGCTCTGTTATTAACGGTGGCAATTCACTTATTTGCTGTGTTTGCCGTGTTTGCCCAACAACCATTATCAGCCTAGATACCATATATAATAAAATAATAGTCATTTGACAAATATGGCAAATATCAAACGCCTCTCGAGCTTCCGAGTTATCGCGCGCTTGACTATTTGGATCAAAGAGCCGAAAAGACGAATAGGCGAATGGGTCATTAAACAGATATAAAAGTTTCCATGTTAAGATAGTCGGATTTGCTTATAAACATGTGCCCGTTTGCATATATGTCAAACGTTTTGCCGAACGCGACGAACGCTCTACTGCAAACCAAATGACCGCGTGTAATACCACCCTAACGCGCGGGTGTCCGTTTACAGGTTGGTAACAACGCCAACAATTCCGTGTTCCGTCTAGACACGGATAGACAAACAAAATTATATGTACATAATGAATTAAGTACAAATTTCTAACTTCCAACTTAATTGAATTGACAACGGAACCAATAATAACTCTACATTTCGAAACGACGACACGTGTAAACAGAAGAAAAGGGCAGTATTTTATATGA